ATAGCGGGTCATTAACTCTTAGCCTATTATCCATGTCTTATTTTTCACAAAAAAAACTCAGAGGAACCCCGCAGAATTCCAGCAGAATTGGCTTTTTTCTTTGCAGAATTCACTAATTTCACTTGCAGAATTCAGTATTTTAACTCACGGAAAACTGGGGGGAGTGCCCTAGGCCCGGGAGGTTCACTGTATACAAAATTCAGCGGGTTCCTAGGCTGAACCCTCAAATATGATCAATATGTTCCCATACCAATCTGTTAAATTTCAATGTGTTCCCATACTGACAAAAATAATGCCCCAAAGCACACCAAATGTCCAAATATAAGACCATTGCCATACCACATGTCCAGATGTAAGACTAAGGCCATTTAAAATGTCTAAAGCCCCGAGAAGAAGGCAGATCTTTGAGGAAAACGATCCAAAACAACCTCAAACTAGAAAACTGCAACTCCGCGAAGTAGCAAATCCCAACGAACAATATATCAATTACCAAATTAATTCCAATCAGTCATAGAATTGAAAAATTTAGATTTTATGATTGCGAATTCCTGAAAGGCAGCCATTTTGAATTTTCTGAGGTACAAATCTGAAAAATAATACCATAATTGTGATCTACTCTAAAATTCCTTCAATTTGAGTATAATATAGGCATACTTTGAAGGGATCGCAAAATTATTGCGAAATCCAACATTAGGCGGCCATTTTGAATTTCACGAGGTCTGAATCTGAAAAAAGATACAATCAACTCTAAATTGCCTTTCATTTGAGTATAATAAAGCTATACTTCAGAAATACCTCAAAATTAACGAATATTTCTGTTTTCCTGACCCCCCATACACGGCCCCAGGGGGTCAGCATGAAAAACAAGGAATATATGTGAAATAAATAGATGTTGTGAATATACTACCAAAATTTCAAACAAAAATATTTATTACTTTGGTTTCGAATGAAAAATTCATGATTTTTACGAAAAAGTCTAGTCATTTTTAAAGCGGCGGCCATCATGGAAAATTTTTTTTTGGGTAAAACTATTCACCAATATACATCGTTCCACCAAATATGAAGAAAATCCGTCAACTGGTATTTGAGTTATCTTCCGGACGGACGGACGGACGGACTGACAGACGGAGGGCTTCACTATATCCCTACAGAACTTCGTTCGTTGGGATAATTAAGGATATGTGTAACTACTAGACCAATGCCATACACAAGTGAGAGGCAATGTATTTTCCATGACCATTCTCATACCAGGAGTGGAAAAATCTGACCATTGCCATACCTCAAATCATAATTTAGGGGGCATTCTCATTCCAGATCCTAAAAATTGGGTCCATTGCCATACCAAATGTCAAAAAAGGGACCCCACATGAGCCGAGGATCCCCCCCGTCAAGGTTTATATACAGTGAACACCCCAGGCTAGGAGCCCTGGCCCTGTGTCTAGTATTCAGTCAGTGAAACCCCTGCTCTAGCTAACCATCCCATTAAAAAAAATCAGGGTGATCAACTTTGGCCAAAAATCACTTGAACTGAGTTCTAAATTGTTGAAAAACTGCATGATTTTGAATGAATTTTTGTCCAGGCCGGTCTGAGGGGGGGTGATGCACACGTGGTTCACGTCATGTCTGGCTTTTGAATGGTTTATCTGTAAAGTGCAACATCTACGTTATTTTGAACAAACAGATTGCCTTACAAAGGTAAAATATATAAAAGATAGTCCACTAGTATAGACAACTAGGCCTACATATACTCACTTTTCTGCTTGACAATTCCCGCTTCCTTCACTTCCGTTAATTTCAACCGTGACACGCCACATAAAGTTTTCCTTTACAGAAGACTTTTAAAAAATTTCAGACTTATCTAAAAATCTGAACTGACTTATGAATTTCCAAAATCAGTTTTGCAAAAAAAAATTGCAAAAATATTTCTAAAAAATTATTATAATTTCTATAAATCATTTTACATTTACATATTTGATTTTTGAAATCCTAAAATAGAGTCTAAAGTTTTAAGGATTTTCTAAAAGTGTTTTTAAATCTTTAAATTGATTTTTAAATCAATTTATTTAATTTTTTTATATATATTTTGAAATTAAAAAATTAAATTTTCAAATTACAAAAGTTACTTCAATTTTTATTAAAGTTTTTGAATTTTAAATAAGTGTTTTGCGAGTTTTCAAAAGTTATTTATGATTTTAAAAAACTATTTACATTTTTATTTAAGTTTTTAAATTTTCAATAAGTATTATGTGAGTTTTTATAAGTTAATTATGATTTTAAAAAACTATTTTTATTTTTATTAAAGTTTTTAAATTTTCAATAAGTATTTTGTGAGTTTTTAAAAGTTAATTATGATTTTCAAAAATAGAAATGAAAAAATGTCCCTTTTAAAGCTTCGTACTCCCTTGAGCTGATTGTGACATATAACCTTAATAGTAGATGAATATCCTCTTTATTGGTTGTATGTTAAGAGTGAGGTGTGTTTTTGGACAACTACTTTCAGTTTTAACGAGCTCCATAAAACAATGAACGAGAAATATTAATTCAAATAAAAAAGAGGAACCCCATTTAAAATACGAAGTAGACAGGATAGGCAAGGGTTGAAAACAAGTAGAGAAAATAGATCTGAATTTATTTCAGGGTAATCCTTCGGTTTAATACTGTTATCTGGCAATCGTTTAAATTCAAATCTTCTTTATATGGATGGACCGACAGACAGACGGATCTGAATATAGTTCACGGTAATCCTTCGGTTAAATCTTCTATATATTTGGATTGACCGACAGACGGACGGATGACGGTAACCTGACAATCGTTCTAATTCAAATCTGAATTTTCGATATTTTCTACATTGGACCAGATAATATAATTAGAATTGGACTTAGTGATGGACGCACCAACACGCTACGTGTAAGTATTCATGCGTTGGTATTGTCTCGTTGCATATAAGAATGGATGGTGTAGGTGTAAAAGGTGCAAAAAGTTCACAATGAATTCAAATTGTTTCCATCATTAAATTGAATATTGAACATTAAATCTGATTGTACATCCATGTGAAATGTAGACACATTAGTATTAACCAGAGAGGTGAAACATGCGCTTCAATACTAGACGATAGATTGAAATTTAAATCAAGCGAAAACGCATATGAGCAATCGTAAATGAAGTTTTAAAATGTTAACAACTTATCTATTTTTACTTAATCAAAAAAGCAAATAATCAATTAATGGTTGTTTCATAGTAACTACTGATATCTATCTTAATTCAAATAAATCAACATGGTGTAATGATACTAAGTCTAATTGACAGCCATATTGATATGTAACGTTCTCATTCATTCATTTTTCCTTGATGTTTAAAGTGTTGCCTTGCGAAATTCACAAATCTGCCACAATTCAAGTCTCTCAAGTCTGTCAGTATTACATCTATCCCATAATTTGCTCAATTTCTATGTTACTTTCTGTTACCCCCTATCTCCAGAAGGCCATTGTTGTATCTTCATGTTATACCATCTCTCAGACAACTCATAGAAAGAAATAAAAAAAATGCACCATTTCCTATAAATGGATATACAGGGTGTGTCATATCCCATTTTAAAGACAATTTAATTCTGGAGTTACCTGAGAAAGGATGAGTCTGGGAATGAGTCTGGGTATCGACTTAGAAAATATTGAAAATTGTAATGTCTGAAAAACCAACTCAATCGCACATATTATTACACTTCAATATCTTATCCTTCTTCTGAGATTACAAAAATATCAATTTGTATCACAATTGATGAAGAATATTGGCATCAAAGACAGTGCATATCACTTTGTCAAAAATGAAAAAAAATCAATGGCAAATATTAAATGAATTATTTATACAAAAAGTTCGAAACATATCCTCCAAAACATTGGTTACTTTCTTTGTATAGCCATTGAATGGTATTTCTGGATAAGTAAATTGGTGTTTATCTGGGTAATCAAGGGATTATAGTCACTCAAAGTTACTGAGCATCCAGTTTTGAGACTTCAGTTGTGTTGGTGAAGTTACACATATTTCAGTCTAATTCATGCTGAGCACAACATTTTGGTTTCAATTTTATAATCTCTATACATGACCCTGATGATGAAGAGTCAGAATCAGTCGAAAAACCTAAACGGGAAAACTGTGCTCATTGTGAAAACTAAAAGTGAAGCAACTTTTTTCTGATATTTCTTACATCAAATGGCAGCCATCTTGTTTTCCCCCTTCAAATTAAACTGGTGGGAAATTCAAAAATTTGAAAATTTTTTATTATCCTTAAATATATTTCAAAAATTTGATTTTCTTTTTAATTCTTCTTGGGTCTTAAGTTATTTCTTCTTTGTATGTCATACATGTTGCCATTGGTGTTCTTCTCTATGATAATGACTATTTTTTTGTTTGTTAAGATACTTATTCTGGCTCTCAGCAGGAGGTTAATTATGCATCAAAACTCGTGAAAAAGTAAATATACTTATCAAATATAACTAGGACAGTAATAAAACCATATTTCACATACATTTGACTGAGGGACCAAAAGGGCATATACCCGGACACATCCTTTCAGCATTATATTATATAATTTAACAGATTTACAGCTGATTCTTTGTAGTTGGTATTACCACCACTTGCTGCTCAAACAGCAGCTTATCTGGATAGATATGATCTCAATAAAAATTCAGAGAAAGGTATAGCAGTGCATAATCCTCTAAGCACTTTCCTCACATTGTTCAGAATTACATCCTTGCTGTATCTTTTTCAAGAGGCTCTTTGTCCATCAATTCCTACACCATGTTTTTCAGAACTGAATCCATATGTTCAGTGCAGTTACATGTATAATCTGGACTAATTCTTTCATATTCCACTTTCTCAAGATTTGACTTTTAACCAGTAACAGAGCAGCAATCAAAGTACCCAAGTAGCAAACTTTGAAACAATGTAACTTTTTCAATATAAAGTTTTATGAAATGAAATTTGATGAGTTACTCCAGAATTAAAGGTATGACACGATATGTAACATTAAGCATTGGAAAGCCTAAATACTATCATTGACAATTGCAAAAACTGAAAGTTGCTTATAATTTTTTGTTTTATTGAGTATTAATGGACTATAGTGTAAAACTCCATTGGCATACAACAAGGTGATATTGTTGACATGTGGATCGGGGCTTAACCTAAAAATTATCTTTTGAAGATTTTTTAACATTCTGTCAATAAGGACTGATCTTTTTCTGAAAAGTTGAAAATTCTTAGACATTGAATAATATAAATAACCATACTGCAAATCAAAGTTTTACACAGAATTCAAATACATGTATGTTATGGAATTTAAGAAAATATGTAGTCCTTGGTGGCTTAATATGCAAATCACTTAAAACCTCATTATAATGAGACTTCGAGATTTCAAAGCTATAAAGCAAATGCTTATTTGATTGGCTTAGATAGTTGATAAATCAAGTGTTACAAAGATATCCTGGATGATAGGCAAATACAACAATTACAAAAAGACATTTCATGTCTCATCTTATCCATTTCTGAGTTTCCAATTTCTGCACTTATTTGCACTGATTTTAGCAACATAAAACAGTGAATAATAACAGTTAGTGTTATGCTGCTGTTCAGTACTTAAGTTCTAAGTACTGAAGTACTTAAGTTTGCTTTGAAGCTTCAAATACTATTGAATCATATTATATGTCAATGTTCTTGAGACTCATTTTTAAAGTCTACAGTATGCTTCAGTATGCAATGAATCTGTATTCATTTTGTAACATTGATGTTAAACGTCCTGTATCCAAACTGTTAGACAATGTTCCTATATCCACATTGTTACATGTAAATGTACTTCTAGCTGCATTGTTTCGTCAATGTTGAAATTGCTACATCAGCATAATTACTTCAATGTCCCACTGTCAGTCACTGAGATTCTAATGATGCCTTGAGTGCAGCTTGTAACATTGTATCATCATCAATACTAAAATCCTGAAACACAAAGGCAAATGCTATAGAACTGTCATAATGTACTGAAACATTAAAGGAACTGTGCAACATTAATCTCCTGAAACACAAAGGTAAATGCTATAGAACTGTAATAATGTACTGAAACATTAAAGGAACTGTGCAAAATTAATCTCCTGAAACACAAAAGCAAATGCTATAGAACTGTCATAATGTACTGAAAGATTAAAGAAACTGTGCAACATTCATCTCCTGAAAAACAAAGGCAAATGCTATAGAACTGCCATAATATACTGAAACATTAAAGGAACTGTGCAACAGTAATCTCCTGAAACACAAAAGCAAACGCTATAGAACTGCCATAATGTGCTGAAACATTAAAGGAACTGTGTAACATTCATCTCCTGAAAAACAAAGGCAAATGCTATAGAACTGTCATAATGTACTGAAACATTAAAGGAACTGTGCAACATTAATCTCCTGAAACACAAAGGTAAATGCTATAGAACTGTAATAATGTACTGAAACATTAAAGGAACTGTGCAAAATTAATCTCCTGAAACACAAAAGCAAATGCTATAGAACTGTCATAATTTACTGAAACATTAAAGGAACTGTGCAACATTAATCTCCTGAAACACAAAAGCAAATGCTATAGAACTGTCATAATTTACTGAAACATTAAAGGAACTGTTCAACATAAATCTCCTGAAACACAAAGGCAAATGCTATAGAACTGTCATAATTTACTGAAACATTAAAGGAACTGTTCAACATTAATCTCCTGAAACACAAAGGCAAATGCTATAGAACTGCCATTATGTACTGAAACATTAAAGGAACTGTGCAACATTAATCTCCTGAAACACAAAGGCAAATGCTATAGAACTGCCATAATGTACCGAAACATTAAAGGAACTGTGCAACATTAATCTCCTGAAACACAAAGGCAAATGCTATAGAACTGCCATAATGTACCGAAACATTAAAGGAACTGTTCAACATTAAAGGAACTGTTCAACATTAACCTCCTGAGTTGTATGTAAAATGAATTGCATGGTTTTTCATGCATCTTGCTTAAGTTTAACATCTAAAAAAACACAATAAAAAATGAAACATTCGATTTACATCATACTCCAAAAATGATTTCTCATTCTCAAGGATAATCCACATATAAGCACCCAGGTATTTTTATTTTTAGGGGCTAGGAATCATTGGTAATTAAAGCCTTTGAATAAGATGAATGCTATTTTAAAATATTATGTGTGCAGTTTGATATTCAATTTTGATGAAAGTATTGCATGCTTATAATAATCAATGTCAATTTTGTTAACAATACTGAATTATTTGTTCTTATATACATGTACATGTTTTCAATTGTAGTCTACATGTATTTACAACATATCAAAACAATATTCCCATTTCAAATTAGTACATTAATAAGTACAAAGCCCTCTGATGCAATAGCATGATATGAATAAAGTTGTACTGACCTGGTAGTACTTTGACAAATGAACTCATTATGTACTGTCCCAGATAAACAAAGCCACGCTGATGTTAGATGACAGTATTTCTCAAATACGAAATGATTTAGTCATATGGCCATTCCATATATGGTACGCTCATCATGTGAGCAACTTGAGCATAATATATTTTGCAATAATGGGATTTAAATACAATAATATGCTGTATTGTAAACAACAAACCTTGATGAGAATGTCATTGACCCAATAAATAAAATATACAATCCCCTTCACAAGTTTGAAAGCATTGTAAAGCCTGTAAATGAATAAACAGACAATGATAATGATGTCAATATTTTGATGTCAGTATTTTTTGACATCCTCCTCTCCAGAAATTTACAGTATTTGGATAATTAATGATTCTTCTCAAATTAAGATTTGCTTCCTTTAAATATTTATCATTTCTAACAAACATAATGGACTTTTAGTCCTCCCAAAACCTAATAATTAATATGTTACTGGCAACATATGCATATTGGCCATCTCTCTGCTGGGTTCACTATTATTCACTGTTATTAAACAAAAGACTAATGAATAAATTCAAAATCAATTAATAATCAATTAATGTTCTTGAAAGCCTATCAGTGATTAATGATAACTTGCTTGGCTGCAAAGCCATGGTATAGCATATTACATCAAACATCTAATGAGTGTCAGACAACAATTGTTTCAGTAATAAGACCACTTGCTCATGAAAAGAATCGTCATCATATTAAGCATTTTTGATGACATGGGGTCATTTCAAAAATGATGAAAACAGCTCATATATTCAGGTATTCCAGAAAATGAAAAACAGTTTATATTTAAAAGTTTTCACTTAAGAAATCTGTTCATACATGTATAAACAACTATTTTGAAATACAGTAAAACACATGGATGGCTCAGAACACATTTCTAAGCTGAGTTCTGAGCCATCTCTTTATGTGAAAACTTCTTTGTTCTTAAACTAGAAAAACAGCAACTCCACAGAGTAGCAAATCCCACCGAATAAAACATGTTTTGGTAAATAGCGGCCATATAAAATTTGAGCCAAATCCATCCACTGGTATTTGAATTATCAAAGATTGTGTTTTTATGAAACATGGTTGCCATTTTGAAATTCAGCTGTCATCTTTAGATTTCTCCTTTAGCAGAGCTCCTATGTCCAAAGGCATCAGCATATACATTTAATCCAAATCCTTCAACTGGTACTTTTATCAAAGGTTACATTCTTTTATGAAAAATGGTGGCCATTTTGAAATTTAGCTGCCATCTTGAAAATCCCTTGTGGAACAGAGCTCCAATGTCCCTTGGCATCAGCATGTAAAACTTGAACCAAATCCATTCAATGGTATTTGAGCTATCAAAGATAACGTTTTTTCCGAAAAATGGCCGCCATTTTGAAATATGGTGGCCATCTTGAAAATGTCTTCTTGAGCAAGGCTCCTTTGTACCCAGGCAACAGCATATAAAATTTGATCCAAATCCATTCTATGGTACTTGAGTTATCAAAGATAACGTTTTTTTTACAAAAAATGGCCGCCATTTTAAAATAAGGTGGCCATCTTGAAAATGTCTTCTTCAGCAAGGCTCCTTTGTACCTTGGCAACAGCATATAAAATTTGAACCAAATCCATCAACTAGTATTTGAGTAATCAAAGATTATATTGTTTCCGAAAAAAATGGCCGCCATTTCATAAGGCATAAGCCTATAAAATTTGAATGAAATCCGTCAACTGGTATTTGAGTTATTGCCCAGACACACGAACGGACACACGAACGGACAGACGGATGGCTTTTCTATATTCCCCTCGAACTTCGTTCGTTGGGATAATAACTCCTAAATATGCTTCTTCTAGATGAATGATAGAGGATTTACTGCATGTCAATACAGACGCAGCAGACTACATGCTGGATAAAAGTAATTGGGTAATTAATGCAAATACATTATACAAACCAGATACAATATAGCTCATTAAAATCCAATTCTTTACAAATACTTTTAATATATCAAAGGTCTGTATTGCTCCAAAAGTCAACATATAGGAAGATATAGAAAAAGCTCAACAGATTGGTTGACTTAATTGTTCCGAAGGAATACACAACACTATTTCACTGCAATGCTTGTTTTGTAAATATTTACATAAATTGCATAATTTATGACAACACTTTGACATTTAGAGCATTGACAATATTTTGCAGAGGTCGTAATGATTTATTATTTGTTTCCTGCCATTTAATTAATGTGAGAAAATTAAAAAATAGTGAAAATTGGGGAAAAGATAATCAAAGATTTTAAAAGCAGCGAAGGAAAAATGTTTGGGACCACTAACATAAACCAGCTTTATATGCTAATTTCAGTTGATAAATCATCAATGCCATAATGATTTACAATTGTCAGTAAGGTATTTATTTCACTAGTCTCAACAAGCAATACATTTACAGAAACTTACCTTCACATATTATGTCACTCATGCTCTTAAATGATAATAAGGTCTAAAGTCTTTAGGTTTATCCTCAAACGCTATTTAAGCTTCATTTCAAATGCACTTTCATGACCCTTTAGTGCCCCTTGCTCACATGTAAAAAGTGCACTTTCATGACCCTTAAGTGCCCCCTACTCACATGTAAAAAATGCACTTTCTTGACCCTTTAGTGCCCCCTACTCACATGTACAAAATGCACTTTAATGACCCTTTAGTGCACCCTTCTCACATGTAAAAAAGCACTTTCTTGACCCTTTAGTGCCCCCTACTCACATGTACAAAATGCACTTTAATGACCCTTTAATGCCCCCTACTCACATGTAAAAAATGCACTTTCATGACCCTTTGGTGCCCCCTACTCACATGTAAAAATGCACTTTCTTAACCCTTTAGTGCCCCCTACTCACATGTAAAATATGCACTTTCATGACCCCTTAGTGCCCCCTACTCACATGTAAAAATCCACTTTCTTGACCCTTTAGTCACATGTAAAACCTGAAATACACATATCTTACTTACCACATATGTATCATATTCAAACTTATGTCGCAGGTTGAGATGTTGGATAAAATTGCCACTCCTTTGATTGCTGTCCCCCCATGGCATAGATGAACATATAGGACACACCTAAAAATATATTCAAAATTTAATTATTTTGTAAATAGATTGTCCCTATCTAAGGATGCTTAAGATTAATTTTCTTTTACAGAACAGATATATGATCATAAAAAGTCCAATTGCTAGTAGACCAACATTCAAAAGTACCCATTAATGAGCAATATAGCAATGAGTGATAAATCAAAGAACTGCAAAGCAACAGAGAACATAAAGTATAGGAAGAAAAATTATAGAAAACAAGTACAACCAATCATAGCAGATTACTTACTACTTGTGCCTTGCTTGACTGGTGATTCTCATTAACATGGATTTTCAATCCGTTTGTGTCAAAGTTCCTTTGGCCACAATATGGGCATTGGAAAGTCTGTCTATTTGGTACATCTCTGCAAAACAAAACAATATGAAATGTATTCAAGGATTTGCTGTTGTGAAGTCATCTTTTTAATAATGTATCTCTTATTTTCGAAATCAAATAAATATAGAATAATAGAAACATGCTTAAAATAAAATGCTCTCACCAACTAATAATGACTTGACAACATTTTCAAACTTCAAAATCAAGAGGGTTTTTTAGGTAGATATTACGCTTCATGGGCATCTCAACCCAAAGTCAATTTAACCCAGTAACACTAAGCCCCAAGTCAATTTAACCCAATACAACTCAACCCCAAGAAACCAAAACCAAGTTCATCTCAACCCCAGTTAAACTCAACACAGACACTAAAGAAATGAATTAGGTTGGGTTTTACTGGGGTTGGGTTAATTTGGGGTTGAGTTTGCTTTAAATAATATGCTCTCACCAACTATTGACTTGACTACATTTTCAAATTACAAAATCAAGAGGGTTTTTGAGGTGGATATTACGGTTCATGGTCATATCAACCCGAAGTCAATTCAACCCAGTAAAACTCAACCCGATACGACTCAACCCCAAGTAAACCAAACCTAAGTTAATCTCAACCCCAGTTAAACTCAACACAGACATTGTAGAAATGAATGTGTTTTACTGGGGTTGAGTTGACTTGGGGTTGTGTTTTACTGGGGTTGAGTTGACTTGGGGTTGTGTTTTACTGGGATTGAGTTAACTTTGGGTTGAGTTTTGCTGGGGCTGAATGTCACCAATATTGCCCTTGACCACAAGGTCATTGTTCACTAATTGGGTTAATGCAGGGAATGATTTCCAGGGATTATATCAATATGTAGGTCAGATTCCTTCTACTTTTAGTGTAATGAAAATGCTGAATAGTGTACCTTGGTGCTGGCTGGGAGGTGTCTGCAACAGGTTTGAACTTTGTTGCAGCAGCTGTGGACAGCAGTTTATTGCAGCCTGCCATGTGAGATCTCAGCTTGTTAAGATAGGTCTGAAAATTCATGATATACATGAACATGTACACAGTTTGCAGTCATCTGATTCATAAAGTTTGCCTCTCAAAAAATAGAAGTTAATTCATATTTTCTTTGATGGTTGCTGTTTATCATCACATTTTTGGGAGAAAAAATATTTTCTAAAAGATGCATGAATTGGACCAAGTTTCGATGATTGTCTTATAATCCATTTACATTTACCAACCTCTCTTATCTGTCATTTGCAAGTAATCTGTTTTATTGGGTACACCTGTTTAAAGAGTAGAGTTTGATGTCTTTCTGGAAGGCTTTTTTCACTAGTCAAAATCTAAAAAGGTGATATGCTTGGTCGGATCAGTTTAAATAAATTGACAGCCCATAGTTATCTGCCATTATAATGATGAAGCAGGTAGGCAGCTTCTGAACAGTATATCGCAGTCACTTTGGAAATTTCAAGACAAATGGGGTGCAGTTATGACAATGGTTGTAATCAACTGAGTGATATCTAATGGCAAGTGCATTTTTTACCCATAGCTACTGTACCACTAATGGCATTTTCATGTATTTTTGTTACACATTGGTACATAATTAGCAACAGTTTAGACAAAAACATACAAATAATTGAAAGATTGTACTGCCCAATGATTTATATAATCTTAAAATTTCTGTTATGATTAATCTTTCCAGTATTTGCAAAAGTTATGTATTCATACAAAGTAAAAAAACATTTTAAAAGTGTGACATCACAAAATATAATATGACCACTGAACACTTGTTAAATAATTGCTCTTACGCTATAGCAGGGGGCCAACTTTGGCCAGTAAACAATCTGTTTCATTTGTTAACATTTTTCTCTTCAATTAATCACCATTATGTAAGTAATTCAAAAGTAGTCAATACTTGCAATATGGTAATTTTTTGAAAGCAATTTGCAATACTCCTTTATGCAATTGCATGTAATTCTATTCAGAACAGGGCAAAGGGTGAGCAGAATCGCACCCTTGAACAGAATGCACTTTTCGGGATGAAAAATTCAAAATGGCCACCTTAACATTTACCCAGACAGCCTAAAAACTAATCAGTTCTAAACTTTCCATAGAAACATCTCTAGAATTTTAGGATGAATCCATGAAACCTGTAAACAACCCTCAAGAGACACGTTTTAAGGAAATCACAGTGTATCAGCTTTTTTCTACAATTCAGATTTTCCTGAAAAAAATCCTGGTAAAAGATATACTGATGTATTACAAAATATGTGAAAATTGGAAAGATTGACCGTTTAGTTATTTCTAAAAAAAATTTTTAATTTAACATTGCTCTCAATGGGAAATTCTTTTTTATTTTTTAAAACAAGCCTTCACAGACACTATTTTAGGACGAAAAATCCAAAATGGCCGGGTTTACATTTTACTAAGAATGCCGAAAAACTAATCAGTTCTAAACTTTTATAGGTAGAAACATCCCTGAGAATTTCAAAGAATCCCTCAAACGGTTTGGCTGGAAACCTGTAGACAAGCCTTGACAGACAAGATTTTAGGATGGAAAATCCAAAATGGCCGCCTTTACATTTACCCAGAATGCCAAAAAACTAATCAGTTCTAAACTTTCTTAGGTAGAAACATCGCTGAGAATTTCAAATGAATCCCTCAAACGGTTTGGCTGGAAACCTGTAGACAAGCCTTGACAGACAAGATTTTAGGACGGAAAATCCAAAATGGCCGCCTTAACATTTACCCAGAATGCCGTAAAACTAATCAGTTCTAAACTTTTATAGGTAGAAACATCCCTGAGAATTTCAAATGAATCCTTCAAACAGTTTGGCTGGAAACCTGTAGACAAGATTATTCGGGACGCCTGCCTGCTCGCCCACCCAACCGCCAGGCAAACTGATTACAATATAGCACCTTAGGGTGCGATAAAAAGATTCCAAAATGAAAATTCAATAAATGCCTATAATTTGGAGTTCTGGCGTCTCTGTTGGCAACATTAACTAAAGAAGTCATAGCTGGGGTCATTCATAGACACAACTAATGTTAAGCAGAATATTATTTTTATTTGTAATAATATTTATTGATAAATAATACCTAGATGTCCACAAGAACCAATATGTCACATTACTCATGTTGTTTTATCTATAGGTAACACCTAAACATGAAATTACTATTAATGAATACTTATTTCATTTGTTCTATATCTAAATTTGTTATGCTTTATGAGTATCATGGTAGTACAACGTGATTAGTACTCATCTCCTTCATCAGTATCATCTCCAGTTCCAGACTCAGCTGCAACTTCTTCATAGTCCTTCTCGAGTGTTGCCAGATTCTCACGAGCTTCATTGAACTCTCCTTCCTCCATACCCTCTCCTACGTACCAGTGGACAAAAGCACGCTTGGCATACATAAGATCAAATTTATGGTCAAGACGAGCCCACGCATCAGCAATGGCGGTGGTGTTACTCAACATGCAGACTGCACGCTGCACTTTGGCAACATCCCCTCCAGAGACAACAGTGGGTGGCTGATAGTTGATGCCAACCTTGAAACCAGTTGGACACCAATCAACAAACTGAATCGAATGTGAACTTTTAAGGGCAGCAATGGAGGCATTAACATCCTTTGGAACGACATCACCACGATACAGCATACAACAAGCCATGTACTTGCCTTTACGAGGATCACATTTCACCATCTGGTTACCAGGTTCAAAGCATGATTTAGAGATTTCAGGAACTGTAAGCTGCTCATGGAAGGCTCTCTGAGCAGACATAATTGGAGCATAGGAGGCCATAGGAAAATGGATACGTGGGTAGGGGACCAAATTAGTCTGAAACTCAGTTAGATCAACATTCAAGGAACCATCAAAACGTAGGGAGGCAGTGATTGAGCTGACAACCTGGGCAATAATACGATTCAGATTTTTGTATACTGGACGTTCAATGTCTAAATTACGGCAACATATATCATAGATAGCTTCATTGTCAACCATGAAGGCAACGTCAGAGTGTTCGAGGGTTGTGTGGGTTGTCAGGACTGAGTTATAAGGCTCAACAACTGCTGTTGATATCTGAGGAGCAGGATAAATAGCAAACTCCAGCTTCGATTTCTTTCCATAATCCACAGATAGACGTTCCATCAACAACGATGTGAATCCAGACCCAGTGCCTCCACCAAATGAATGGAAGAGAAGAAAGCCTTGAAGACCAGTGCAATTATCAGCTAGTTTCCTTATACGATCTAGGCACTGGTCTATATACTCTTTGCCCACTGTGTAGTGACCCCTTGCATAGTTATTGGCGGCATCTTCCTTACCAGTAATCAGTTGCTCTGGATGGAACAGTTGCCTGTAAGTTCCAGTGCGGATCTCATCTGAAACACAAGAAATGTTCATTCTGTTAACAAATATTTATCACTTAACTTAGAACAACTATCATAGTATGCAAGCTAAATGCTTGGTCTTAAATCCTCTATAATTTTTCTAAATTAATATGCATGAAAGGGAATTCAAAGACAAATGTTGAACCCTTTAAAGCGCGCATTATTTAGATTGAGGAGTGAACTTTTTGATCTCATCTATATCATTACATTAAACTGGGGGTAAACTGTCAAGTAAATAGTATGGTGATAATGCTTATGTTATAATAATATGTTTCTGAGTATCAAGTATATGGAACCAGGGTTAAATAAGGCTTCAGAGCTAAGCATTTTAGCACCGACAGAAAAGTCAAAACTATTCTGCCAAAGTTATGTAGACCTCCATCGCATCTAAATTACCAAACAGATTTCATCAGAATGTGAATAGCAATAATTTATTTAACTTTCTTTGGAAAAAATAAATATTTTAGATTGTTGAATTTTTTCGCAGAAATAGGCTCCTATCCTCCACTCATTTTGTCTGAATAATGGCTATGATAATTCTCCAAATCATAAAAAAAGAAAATATGTGAAATGCAATGAATCCCAGGTGAAAATCAAACAACCCTCTTGCTATTTATAAAAAATGACTACAATTTTAATGTTGATATGACCTTCATCATGGCTTTTAGTTCAAACAAAGGGTAAATTCAATATTTTGAATTCCGACTAAATACTTTATGTTGATAATTCATTGTGTTTGTGATACATACCAACAACAGTGGGTTCAAGATCCATTATCACAGCTCTTGGGACATGTTTCCCTGATCCTGTCTCACTGAAGAATGTATTGAATGAGTCATTGCCCCATCCAATGGTTTTGTCACTTGGCATCTGACCATCTGGTTCGATTCCATGCTCAAGGCAGTACAACTCCCAGCAGGCATTGCCCATTTGAACCCCTGCTTGTCCAATGTGAATTGAAATACATTCTCTCTAAAATAAATGATTTGAGGTTCAGTTAATTTTAAGTTTCATATAGTTTTTATCTAAGGCATAACAAATGATGGATATCACAAAGTAATCCATTATCTAAAATATAACTATCTTAACACATTATAGAAAAGAAATAATACAGAACTATTTTAGCTTTTCAAAAAACAACAGCATCATATAAGGGGAGTCTCTTCAAATGAATGAAAAACACTTACCATTTTGCTTTGCGAATTATTGGCCCAAAAATATTATCTTAAAAAATTTGATAAGACTTGTTGCATTCCAATGGAGCAGCCAGTCTGTTACACCATCCAGGAAATCTTTTCTGCTGTTTTATACAAAATTATGACAGCAATTACCCATGGGTAAAATGCCATCCAAATATTTCCTTCAATATGCATAAAATAGAGGCAAATCCTGCTAATAAAAATGATGAAATATATGCCTGAATTCAGAACCTTAATTGAATGAAAATGATGCTAATTCTAAAATGAGAGAAAATAAAGTGGAAATAGCATGCCTGGAGTGATATTTTAAGGAAGGGCAAGTCATTCTCTTGCCAATATAATCCATTTTTAAACTAAACCCTGATGAAATGTCCTGTCTATCTCCTATATTAATTAATTCATCAATTAAATTGGATACTGGTTTGAAACTGCGTGTACGGCATATGGTATCAGGCTTTTTTCAATTAAGTAAAAAATACAATACATGAAGTGATAATTAATTCCCATAATTTGATTTCACGGGGGAGTTTCATTGCTTATTTTTAAAGATAAATCATTGGGCAAACTCAATTATTCATGATCTCCAAAGAAACATTATAATTTGTATTCTACAAAAGGGATAAAATATTTTCATTGTTAGATTTAAACAGGTAAAATTAAAAAATCATTGATTAGTAGTATGTATTTGCTAAAACTGATTTTATGCATGGTCAAACATGTAAATCTAAATAATAAATGAATGATCAAATAAATTAAAACATTGAAGTATTTTTATAAATCAACAATTAGATCTGAGCGCATAGACACCATGATAAATAATGTGGAGGTGACATTTCATTTCATAATGTTAGACAAACTTCCCAGTTTTAATGCAAAATAATTTTGCAAATTTTGCATGATGCTGATGTACTCACTTGATTGCCATATCACTTCAAAAGTTATCTGTTTCATTTTGTTTCAAAGTCACATAGAATATACACACTGAGCCATTCAATTGTGCCATTTTTCTAATGATCAAAGATTAGAGATTTGAAATGTGAACACCAGTTAATCAGGAATTTTGACTGTAACTAGATGAAGAAAATTAAGAAGAGTGAATATCTTCCCTCATTCTCTTACACCTTGTACAACCAGAATAGTCCCTCAGATGATTTTTTAAGAGCCTTAGATAAGGAGTTGGTAGTTCAGGACTCAGGGTTCTCACCAGGAAATTCTTAGAACCCGGAAAAAAATTCAACATTCGCACCCCCAAAATAACCTAATCAGATGTAGAATAAAATGAGTTGAACAAGATGCTAAAGTTTTAAAAGTAACTGTGTAGCCGTTTTTTTCTTAAATTTTGCAGACAGGGATTCTAGCATGTGACTTCAAAATGGCCAACGGGAAGAAGGTATTGAGCAGAATCTTTTTAGTCCACATCTGTACGCACTTGTAAGTTATCCCTGATAATTTGAAGGTGATATCTGTAGTGGTTTTGGAAAACTGTTGGACGTACAGACAGACGGACGGACAGACGTGCCTAGGCCGACAATATGGCCCCACACTATGTGGTGGGGACATAAAAAGTTTTTTTAGAAGGCAACTTTGTATTACCCCACTTTAGAGGTAAGTCCCTATTTCACTCAAAAACAAATATTTATTTCATAAGGGAAGTCAGTACTATACAACAGTATGTTCATTTTTGTGGCAAAGTGCCAGACAACGACACTTGAATTTTTTGAGCAGCTAAGGAAAAGAACTGTATGAAATGATTTGCAGTCATTCTGGCACCAAATATTGTACTAAATACTTGCTTATTTCCATTTTTGAAAGATGCATGCCATTCTCACAGACCTACCAACTGGGTGCTATTAACAGACTGGTACACCTAGTATCACTATCCTCTAGTAAGTACAATAGTTCGGAAGTGAAAATATTATAATATATTGAAAAGTTTAACAATATAATTATCATTATAGACACTTCTATTCCCAAGGTATTTGGAAGAATTCAGAGAAAATATTTGGGGTGTGAGTCTAAGGTCTGAGAAACATGGCTATAGCCAAAATCTGTGAAGGCAATCATACATGTTTTACATCATATAAATTCTGTGTCAATCTTCGATAATCAAGAGAAATTAATTTTCTCATTGTTTAGATCAGTATAAATAAAAACCCTTTGACAAAAAATGTTAATTTAGATATGATCTAGGTGAAAAACATACCCTCTCAAGCATAATAGTCCCTTGATTTAGATTGCAACAATTATCATACCTTTTTATTGCATCCTTTACAAGTGCCCTTTTGAGATGCGATCAATTTAATGAGGGTTGAATCTTTCTTCCGTTTCTGTGGGTTGAATATGCATCTGCAAACTGGACAATGTGGTTCTGCTAGTGCCATATATTGCTCTAGGCAATGGGAACACAACCTTAAAAGAAATTACCAATGAATAATTAGTAGGAATATAAGATTTTCTAACTAATGATTGATATAACTACTTCCATGTAAGCTTGGGCCCACAAGTACTTTGGGCATTCTTTACTTGTAAAAACAAAAGGGAAACACAGACAGACTTCAAAAATAAAATTGATAAGTATGATATGCAGAACTGAATTTAAATACACATGACAGGTAGGCTTGATAGTTAGCTGTGGTATTTTATCATCCATTTATTGTTCTTAATCTGAATCAATGTCACGGCAACTGATAAAATTTCAACTCTAACTTGACCCCAGCTTCAGTGCTGTACCCCCATCCAGACCATCAGTGCTCGGAAGAAGGGGGGTTACGCAGCACTAGCGATAACCACTATGGTATGTGTAACAAGTTTTTTTATTACACATGAATCATTTATAATGTTTAGTAAGGTTGACAGACTTTATTCGAGTCTCTAGCCACTTGGCTAGAAGTGATTCCATCTGTTAGGATTAAATGGACACTGTCATTTGTGAGATATTGCATGCTAAATACTAAATAAAAGCCAATATAGACAGACATATGAACTAAGACTTCATACTAAGTTCAATGGAGGTATGTTTATTACATTTTAGTTTAATAGCAACGGTCTATGAGAGATAGCGTAAAAAGCAATAAAACAAACATGGCTCTATGATCAGCGTAAGGCCACACTCTGGCCGAAGAATAATCTCTCGTCTGATAATTTTTTTTAATTTGGTTAAAAATATTAACTCAGTCTGTTGGATTATCATACAGTCATTTTCATAAATAAGTAGTATCAGAATCAAAAAGACATTCTGTCGCACATATAGTAAACTCTTACCTCAGGGAATTAAGTGCTCTATTTTCTTCGTCCTGGAAAGGACAAATATAGTGAAATTTGTGTCCATAACAATGACCATTGGGAACTTAAAACTTTGAAGCAATTTTCACATGTTAATGCAGCAGTATGGACTGCCGAGTCGTATCCAGTGATCCTGGGCCTATCGTAAAATGAAAGCGTTGAATATGTTATAGCCTTTAAAAATGTATCTATTTCCATGTATGCAACTAGAATTTGTGCACATATCGATCGATAATGGCAAAAGAATATCCTCTATTATTATTATTATTATATCTTGGTTACCGCCATATTTGGCGAGCAATACCTCATTGGTATATTCCGTATTTTACGTATTTTACACTCGAAGAAAGAGCCAGAAACCCCTCCTTGGAGGGGCCCTGTGTTCTTTTTTGTGCACAGGTATACAGACATACAGGTACATACCACAGCCTTTTATACGAGTCGTGAACCACTCAGTCAAACACGGAGAATTACATAACGAACAAACAAACTTGTCTGAACCAGGAATCGAACCCGAGGCCAAGGGATATTGGTAACTTTGACACTAATTCTTCGTCTTCTTCTTCTCCTTCGTCCGCCATTTTTTATATTACCGGAAGTTTGTTCTCTAACGTCCGCGCAATGTTTTTTCACTTTTATTTCAAATTACGCTTTGGATTCAACTTTTAATGCTTTCTAATAATCGTCAAGTGATTTCTATAAGAAACATTTTCATAAAAAGACTCACACTATCAGAGATTTTATCAAATCGAGCAGCCAGAAAAATTAGTTTCAATTTCACCCGCTAGGTATTTCGACGTCGACTTGGAAAGAATTTGAAAAATCTATAAGTGGGACTCCTTGTATAGAATTATAGATTCTAAACAATTTATCAAGGAAGAAGATGTTAGACCAAACTTCGCCCCGATAGCTCAGAAAAGGTAAAATTTATTAATTTTTCTCTCCACAGTCCTTGTAGCCGCTTTAATACCGACTCTTCAAATGTTGAGGTGATTTTGGACCCTGATTACACCCCAAGGAGGATTGGCTCCCAGAATGCAACATGACACGTGACAGCTTTCAAAATGCAGTTCTGCCATTTTGAAACCTATCATTTCTAAATAATGGCAACTCTGCGGAGTAGCAAATCCCAACGAACAAAATATCAATTTCCAAATTCTAATCAATTATACTCATGACATTACTTTGGTTAAAATTGAAAAATTTAGATTTTAGAATTGCGAATTCCTGCAAAGCAGCCATTTTGAATTTTCTGAGGTACAAATCTGAAAAATAATACCATAATTGTGATCTACTCCAAAATTCCTTCAATTTGAGTATAATATAGCCATACTTTGAAGGGATCAAAAAATTATTGCGAAATCGTACATTAGACGGCCATTTTGAATTTTACGAGGCTCGAATCAAGAAAAAGGTACAATATTTGCAATCTACTCTTAATTGCCTTTCATTTGAGTATAATAAAGCTATACTTCAGAAATATCTAAAAATTAGCGAAAATTTCTGTTTTCCTGACCCCCCATACACGGCCCCTGGGGGTCAGGATGAAAAACACGGAATATATGTGAAATAGATAGATGTTGCAAATATACTACCAAAATTTCAAACAATAATATTCATTACTTTGGTTTAGAATGAAAAATTTATGATTTTTGCGAAAAAGTCCCGTCATTTTTAAAGCTATTTACCAATATACATCTTTCCACTAAATATGAAGAAAATCAGTTGACTAGTATTTGAGTTATCTTCCGGACGGACGGACGGACTGACTGACTGACGGACGGACGGAGGGCTTCACTATATCCCTACCGAACTTCGTTCGTTGGGATAATAAGGTTAGGTCACAATACTAACGGTGGCGATCCATGAAGACATGCGTTGCTTTTGTACGTATTCTTCAATCAGTTGCAGGTATGAAGCCTTTAATTCATTTGTTGTGCTTCTTAGAGTGGACGGGAATTATTTTTCAAGCATTTGTGAGAGTTTGATACCCGGAGTTTGATACATAAAACTTAGAATTTAGGCAGCTCATTGTGTAATAGTACAATAACGTCATTTCAAAGGGCAATATAGTGATATTGGGCCACAGGCCCAAGGACCAATATTTCACTATTTTGCCCGTAGAAATGCGTAATTACTTTTATTACCACCGTTAATGCCCAGGGCTGAAATAGCAAATTTGAAATAGAAAATCTTACGCACTGAACGATATCACTTTTCCCAGGAAACATAGCTGGGCGGATAATGTCATTATTGCCCGACTAAAGTCATTAACGCCCGACACAATTTTGCTCACGTCAATATAGCAATTTAAATGCCTTCTCAACTAGTACTAAAACTCCTAGAACAGGCCCTGCAAGGTGGTAATAATAGGCAAGATGGACTTATCAGTCTCTCCAGTATAGACTTCTGCAACCATATCTTGTTGTGACATTATAATTGTATGTCACATTGGAACTTTAATGCTGCCTTTGGTCCCCAGGTTTTGGTCTCTTGATACACTAAGAGCACTAAGATCAATGTATTTTTGGCACTCAGAATTGAATGTATAAAATTTTCACCAGACCTGGGAACTGTTTCTTGTAGAACCGGTTCGGGATTAAAATTAATTTATATACTCACACGTGACCACAACATATCCTGTACGGTTTTTCGTATATTTCTAGGCATATGGGACATGACACATCGTCTAAATTGTCGTAAGAAGTCGAACCTCCTTGCGCCATTTCTAATGTTTACAAATGTTTACACATTCTAATTTTTAATGACATCAAAACTTATATTGATAGGTATTGGATATTAAATCATTTCCGTGATTTATTTGTCAAATATTGTAAATATAATTTATTTTCACAATTACAATATCTATAATATAATTTCAACGGATCTCATCATCTATTAGTCAACTTGTAATAAATTTAGAATGTGTTGTCCATTTAAATACACTGCACGAAAAAAGACACAGTATTTCTCATTTTGCCCGGGACGATGACACTGGTATCGGTTTGCCTCTTTCAAACGCTAGAATATTCCTAGACGCAATCAGGGCCAGGCCAGTAAAGGCCGTTAAAAATGAGACCATAATCCCCGGGGACCATAATTTCTTTCGGGCTAGCGAGCAGCCTAACAAAAATTGTTTCAATCTTATAAATTTCTGGCTTCTGGTCATTCCTTTTCATGTCTATTTTCTAAAAATCCCAAAAGTGCACACTTTATGTCAAGAAAACTAAAGATTTTTACAATAATGTATTAGTTTCTATAAGAATGGTTACTTAGTTTGCATTCCGACAAGGCGTGCGTGTAAAGTATATGCATGGGCATTGAATTATCAAACGAACGTACGGTTTTTCGAAACCAGATCATTCAACCATGAAGTGATGAGATAGCATTTGGGTTTCTAATTACATGTCATGTCTCGTTGACGGAAGTTATTAATCAATTTAGAAATTATTACAGAAATGGATTATCATCAAAAGAAAGACATTACTGAAATCACGAATAGAGAAGAAAACATGAATATGTTCCCAGGGGCGTAGCCAGCTTTCAGTCAGGGGGGTGTTATCGCCAAAATTCGGTTTTCAAAAGATTCGGTTTTCAGTCAGGGGGTGCGATTGTGGCATAAACAAGCCAAAAAATTCAGATTTACCTTGAATTTTACAATAATTTATGCAACTTCCTTCAAAATTGAGCTCCACGTAGCTATAGAAGCTTCATTAAAGTTCTTTTTCTATCCATCGCCCCCCCCCCCCCCCCTAACTACGCCTGTGGATTTCTGAAATCAGCTTGCTAATGAGCATTGATCGGCGTATTGTATTATAGATAATGAGATAAGATAGTTTTGTTTGCGTTCAGTTGGTATTTTTAAATTGGAATAATGTGCTTTAATAGAATAATAATCTGCAATTATGTAATTCGAAAAAGTAAAAAAAAATCCCAGGATCTATTTGGAATATAAATGTTGTATTAGTTTAGTATTCAAGTCACATTTGCTCTGACTATAGAGGTTCCGAACCGGCGCTCAACAATATACAGGGTGGTCCAAAAAAGTGAACTGTTGAAATGCATGGGCTACATTTCCCTTATTACAAGCAGGAATACTTTCATATTTTCCCATGTTGTAGAAGAACAATTTTTTTCAGTACCATAAACTTTTTGTAGTATTGAAATTTGCGGAAATTATAAGCCCTAACCCAATATCACTGAAAATCGATAAAATGTGAACTTCAACATTTGCGATTCTTCAGCCCTTCAACAATTAATCTTCCCGTGGAAATAATTTTAGTCGCCATCTGATCATGAAGAACCTGATGTTTTACTGACTTTGTTTTGATTTGAACCCTGCACATTATGGTCTATAAATTAGCATCCTGTCTCGGTTAGTTGCAAAGTTATTGTGATCCAAAGAAATGTTCTAAGTTTCCAAAGACGAAAACATCTTCCAGTGAAATCTAAAAAATGTCAATATCTTCATTAACCATGGACCAATTCAAATGAAATATGGCTCAAAACACTGAATATTAGATTTCCCTTTGATTCCAGTAAGATATTTATATGAATGGCTTCTCGGAGTTTGGGTCACAGGGGGTAACTTTGCCCCCCCCCCCCCCTCTGTAACCGTTTGTGTAGGTAATATGACCCTCAATTGTTGAATGGTTAAAACTGCTTCAAAATGGTCATTGAAAATGTAAAATGTGTTTTCTGCTCAAATAGTATAGCCTGTTGCAATGGTTCACTTTTTTGGACCACCCTATACAATAAATATTCTGTTCAAGAAAATAATCGGCTTGAAATGGTTGTGAACATAGATTTCAACTGCTAGTATTGGCTAAGACTATAAATCAGAACAAATCACCCTGCTTCCCCAGGCAGTGGTATTAATGGAATAACAATACAGTAAGACGCACGGCTTCACATACTGGCTTTAATTGAACCAATATTCCATCGGTTTACGTATTTTCATTTGCATGTGTTCTTGAGTTTGTGCGCTTGACGAGATACTTCTACTAGTATGAGGAAAATGTCACATGTATTTTACTGAATCGTACACACCCATATAGGTGACCCCTGAGTTTTGATAATTAAGATATTTGGAGGATCTTGGAATTGAAAGGTAAGTTGAGTCATTGTAAGTCTTAGTTGGATATGCTATACAATGACTGTCTTGTAAATGAGAGAAATTACATAATATCGCTGAAATATACTACATTGCATGTAATTGAGTAGTTACGTATGTTTGAAAAAAGGTCGAATGTCTGTACTTTTTTATTGATCGAGGTGTCATTGGAAAGCTTGAAATTGTTTCAATTTTCACATACAGTATATTAAAACCATGACCCATCAATGGCTATGCCATCATATTGTATTATTATATCAGAATAATATATTTTGCATTATTGCGCATGGTATCATCAATCACATATTATATGTCAATCATATATATGTTATTCTATGGTACATTTTTGTAGCTATAATACAAGCACTGTTCAATAAATGTTCCATAGAGATAAAGTTATCCAAATGTACTTTATTAAAGAATTAGAAGGTATATAAATAGTATACAGCCTTGTCCAAAAAATGGAACATTGGTTATAATCGTATGCAGAAAACTTCTTTCTCACTAAAATACACCAACTTTTACTGAGTGTTAATTACTTTTCAGACAATTTTTATACAGGATGGTCAAATACGGAAACCCTTGTGCAATTTTCCTCATATCTTTGTCATTTTTAGGAATAATTCCTTTATATATTACATAGTACATCATTCAATTTCATACCAAGCCCACTAGCTAGATATCATGACCATCAGACTGATGGCTACAATGTTACAGCACTTTAAAAAACATGCCCCAGTGGCCACTATTGCGCTGTTGGCAAACCTACACACGTTGTCAAAAATATCCCTGCCTGTGGGGATACGGCAAAGAGAATGTATGAGAATGACCTCAGAACTATTGCAGACCTCAAAAATGAAATCATCCGTGCCATTCAGGACATACCTGCTGAAAAATGCATTGGGATCATTGACAACTGTGTATACGATGTAGACTAATGATGGCCAAACCGGAAGCATGTTGTTTAAAGTGCTGTCATTGTATCTAACAGTCTGATGGCCATGAAATATGATAGGGTGGTAGGAAATTGAATGATGTACAAATGTAACAAACCCGGCTAAAACCTAACTGCGCAAAAATTCAAGAAGCATAAAATTTCATTGATTCTTCTAGGTATGCATTCTTATTTTTCATATATTATACATACACTGAACATATCTACTTCGTTTCTTTCAGTAGCCGAGTGATGAAATTTGTAGTTATTCTAGGACTTTTCATTTCTTTTACGCTCGCAGTCAGTAAGTAAGCAAACACTGTTAAGCAAAAATTCTGAATATCGTGTTAAATTGCGAAGGTTTCATAATTTTACTCAAAGAGGTGATACTTTTAAACATATTTTACCATATGCTTGCCATAAGACCACAACCCTTTCTATTTTAGACTTTTGAAAATATTTGCCTTGTTTGCCGTGGAGTTGCCGTTTTCTAGTTTATCCTATATCGGGAGCAAATTAAATGTAATGTAGATTCCTGCATGTTCTGCCAAGATCTTATTGAAATCCACGCACATTCAAAAGTCGGAATAAAAAAATATGTACGTTTTTGACCCACCCTGTACATTACACTCTGATACATCGTATATCAAGGGGAAGGGGCTCGAATAGTGAACGTAGATTCCATACGTAGATCCGAACTTGAATCTATCTTATTTATACTTTATGTAAATGACATGTACAAATATATTAATTTCTTTGATTTTATTATGTTTGCTGATGATACAAATCTATTTGCCTCTCATAAAACCATTGAAAGTCTACTTACTATCTCCAATAATGAATTAAACAATATTGACGACTGGATTAAAGCGAACAAACTTTCTTTAGATATTGATAAAACCAAATCAATCCTATTCGGACCAAACAAAGAAATTAGCCTTACAATAAAAATTCGGCAAAACCTCATTCCTAAAATGAAACGATTCATAGGCATGATACCAGGCAAAAAGGTTTTTATCATATTGATAAGGCCTACTTAGCTTTTCTATCAGAAAATTTGGACCACTCTTGTGGAATGACCTTGACGATGTAATAAAAAATACTAAATCTCTTTGCACCTTTAAAAACATATAAAAATGCTATTTTATCATCATATATGTAACCTTGTGTAATGTTTATTTCCTCTACTTTTCGGGCACATCGTGTAACCTTATTGTACCTAATATGTTTTTCGTTTTTACACCTCGTATAAATATGTAGTTTTATGTTAATCAGTATTACTTTTAGGACTATTAGGAGTCTCCACTTTTTTTACTAGTTAGCCTAATTGTTATTTGCTCTTGTTATATGCTGATATATGCCTTGTGGTGTCTCTGTGTGTAACATGTAGCTTTTATGTAAATACTTTATATAGTAATAAATAAATAAATAATAATAACTAATGGTTGAAATTCTGTAAATTTTCATTTTAGGGGTGGATATACCAGATCCAGGTAGGTGCTTGTTTGTTGCTTTTCCCCACTGTGACCATTCTTCACATTTGTTCTTACTACTCGTCCCCACTAATGTTATTGTTCCACTTTGATTACTTCTTGTCCCCACTATAACCATTCTTCACATTTGTTCTTACTACTCGTCCCCACTAGTGTTATTGTTCCACTTTGATTACTTCTTGTCCCCACTATAACCATTCTTCACATTTGTTCTTACTACTCGTCCCCACTAATGTTATTGTTCCACTTTGATTACTTCTTGTCCCCACTATAACCATTCTTCACATTTGTTCTTACTACTCGTCCCCACTAGTGTTATTGTTCCACTTTGATTACTTCTTGTCCCCACTATAACCATTCTTCACATTTGTTCTTACTACTCGACCCCACTAGTGTTATTGTTCCACTTTGATTACTTCTTGTCCCCACTATGACCATTCTTCACATTTGTTCTTACTACTCGTCCCCACTAGTGTTATTGTTCCACTTTGATTACTTCTTGTCCCCACTATGTCCTTTCTTCACATTTATTCTTACTACTCGTCCCCACAAGTGTTGTTCCCATTTGATTACTTCTTGTCCCCACTATAACCATTCTTCACATTTGTTCTTACTACTCGTCCCCACTAGTGTTATTGTTCCCATTTGATTACTTCTTGTCCCCACTATGACCATTCTTCACATTTGTTCTTAATACTGGTCCCGAGTAGTGTTATTGTTCCCATTTGATTACGTCTTGCCCCAGTATGACCATTCTTCACATTTGTTCTTAATACTTGTCCCCACTAGTGTTATTGTTCCCATTTGATTACTTCTTGTCCCCACTATGACCATTCTTCACATTTATTCTTACTACTCGTCCCCACTAGTTTTGTTGTTCCCATTTGATTACTTCTTGTCCCCACTATGACCATTCTTCACATTTATTCTTACTACTCGTCCCCACTAGTTTTGTTGTTCCCATTTGATTACTTCTTGTTCCCACTATGACCATTCTTCACATTTGTTCTTACTACTCGTCCCCACTAGTGTTATTGTTTCACTTTGATTACTTCTTGTCCCCACTATAACCATTCTTCACATTTGTTCTTACTACTCGTCCCCACTAGTGTTATTGTTCCACTTTGATTACTTCTTGTCCCCACTATAACCATTCTTCACATTTGTTCTTACTACTCGTCCCCACTAGTGTTATTGTTCCACTTTGATTACTTCTTGTCCCCACTATGACCATTCTTCACATTTGTTCTTACTACTCGTCCCCACTAGTGTTATTGTTCCACTTTGATTACTTCTTGTCCCCACTATGTCCATTCTTCACATTTATTCTTACTACTCGTCCCCACAAGTGTTGTTCCCATTTGATTACTTCTTGTCCCCACTATAACCATTCTTCACATTTGTTTTTACTACTCGTCCCCACTAGTGTTATTGTTCCCATTTGATTACTTCTTGTCCCCACTATGACCATTCTTCACATTTGTTCTTAATACTGGTCCCCAGTAGTGTTATTGTTCCCATTTGATTACGTCTTGCCCCAGTATGACCATTCTTCACATTTGTTCTTAATACTTGTCCCCACTAGTGTTATTGTTCCCATTTGATTACTTCTTGTCCCCACTATGACCATTCTTCACATTTATTCTTACTACTCGTCCCCACTAGTTTTGTTGTTCCCATTTGATTACTTCTTGTCCCCACTATGTCCATTCTTCACATTTATTCTTACTACTCGTCCCCACTAGTGTTATTGTTCCCATTTGATTACTTCTTGTCCCCACTATGACCATTCTTCACATTTATTCTTACTACTCGTCCCCACTAGTTTTGTTGTTCCCATTTGATTACTTCTTGTTCCCACAATGACCATTCTTCACATTTATTCTTACTACTCGTCCCCACTAGTGTTATTGTTCCCATTTGATTACTTCGTGTCCCCACTATGACCATTCTTCACATTTGTTCTTACTACTCGTCCCCACTAGTTTTGTTGTTCCCATTTGATTACTTCTTGTCCCCACTATGACCATTCTTCACATTTGTTCTTACTACTCATCCCCACTAGTTTTGTTGATCCCAATTGATTACTTCTTGTCCCCACTATGACCATTCTTCACATTTATTCTTACTACTCGTCCCCACTAGTTTTGTTGTTCCCATTTGATTACTTCTTGTCCCCACTATGACCATTCTTCACATTTGTTCTTACTACTCATCCCCACTAGTTTTGTTGATCCCAATTGATTACTTCTTGTCCCCACTATGACCATTCTTCACATTTATTCTTACTACTCGTCCCCACTAGTTTTGTTGTTCCCATTTGATTACTTCTTGTCCCCACTATGACCATTCTTCACATTTATTCTTACTACTCGTCCCCACTAGTTTTGTTGTTCCCATTTGATTACTTCTTGTCCCCACTATGACCATTCTTCACATTTATTCTTACTACTCGTCCCCACTAGTTTTGTTGTTCCCATTTGATTACTTCTTGTCCCCACTATGACCATTCTTCACATTTATTCTTACTACTCGTCCCCACTAGTGTTATTGTTCCCATTTGATTACTTCTTGTCCCCACTATGACCATTCTTCTCGTCCCCACTAGTCGTGTTACTGTTCCCATTCGATTACTACATCTCCTCTTTGGTGTTTAATCGATATTTGATCACTTCTTGTCTAAGCGAAGGTTTTAATTTAAAAATGTCTACATAATCTGTAAAATTTTGACAGATCAACTTGCTTCTCCGTCATGAACATGTTTTACATAAAATCCGATTGTAGACCTATGTCTCAGCCAGTTTGGATATATAGCTGGGAGTGAGCTCGGAGAAGATTGCTGTACCTTCATTTTCTGTGACGACCCCGAGTTGAATAAAACAGGTAAAAATAATTTCAACGGGCTACAAGTCAAAGTATACGTTTATGGTTATATCTTTTGAACTATTGTTTCAATTTTGTGTTATTCCCTCGTGTCAAACAGAATTACATTAAAAAATATCCCTATAAAGAAGTTATGTACTACACGAGGGACACATTGTTATCTTCATCCCAGGATATTAAAAAATCTGGTATTTTTAATTTTCTGACGAATGCTTTTATCCAGGACTTGTGGGAAAATGTTACGATGGTACTGCCTGGAATCAAGACTTGTTGACATGTGATCTCGCTAAATATGTTCCCGATTGTGACGTGGGGTCATGTGATGTTCCAAATATTCAAGAGTTGGAGTGTGAAAGCCCTCAGCCCACCGGTATTGAGAATTTGAGATATCAATAACGCTCATCATATCAGTAACTGCAAATATTTGTCAGTTTTTGCCAAACTATACTATCTAATCTATCTATACAGTTTAGAATTGAGTCTCAAACATTCATTTTAAAACCGTAATTGTAGCCTTTGCCAAAGTTAAAGACTTTTGGGGGGAAATTGCACATTCAAGAGAGAAATTCATGTGAAAAATTGGTATTTCTGTGGTTAAATCTTAAATGACCTAAACGTTACCCTGTTACCTTGAAATAAACAATATTTGTATTTCTCTCGTGATATATATGTTTCATCAATCATTTTGCTGATTTTTATAGATACCACGTGCTGTGTAGGACAAAATTTAGAGGAAGGTATATTCGGAGTGAAACCAATGTATAGCAAAGGAGATGGTCCCGCACAATATATTCAAGATGGAATGAGAGAATTTCAGGAGTGCCCTTTGGACGAAGTGTTTGATCTCGAAGCGTGTGCTTGTGTCCAAGTTTGTAAGTAGCTGCGGTTGGTTCAATAAGCTATTTCTCCTCGATCAACTACTTTTCTCCTCTTTCTACCTCATTCAACAGTATGATTTTGCTTCTTTGAGCTTCATCTATTCATAATAAGAACCCATAACAGTACAGTTATGAGTTTTGAGTTTATGTTTTTGTATCATTTGTATCACCACGAAACTACTTTTAACAGTTGAAGAGATTCCTCCATGTGACAACCACGATCATTTTCTCTTTGCGGATGAATTTGATCCTTGCTGTTCATTCGTACAGTGTTTCCAAAACAGGACTGGCTTCACATCCGGAAGATGTATTGCTCCATCAAGTAAGTAGAAATTACAATAAAGAAAAGAAACGGAAACTCTCTCTTAAAATGTTACATATTAAGAATCATGTTGTTTTTATATCAAATGTTAACGGGGTATGAAATCGAGTATGGCAACTGGGTCATTGATCCCCAGTCGACATCGAAACTAGGAAGACAAGCATTCAAATTGTGACTATATCACTCATCATTTGCCCTTGGAATGTTAGGAGAATTAAAAATATCCCATTTGGAATTCCTTGGGAAACTGGAAACCTGTAAGTATTGCAAAATGCAATATCGATTCTTTCGCCTTGTCACCTTTTGCAGCTTGGAATGACGAGGAGAAGACATGCGACTCGAGTGGTGCAATCATGGAGTGCATGGGCGTGTTCTGCGAGGACGCCAATACAGACCCACCTTGCAACCCATTTCCCTTTGTCGAAGGGGGTAGGTCAGAACTATATATGTTCACAGTGATGTAACAAATAAAGTGCATAAGGATTAGTTAAGTATATGTTGTTCACCGACCTTGCTGATTTCAAGATTAATATTTGATTGATATTAAGAATATATTTCATAGTGGTGACTCACTTTATAGCTGAGTGCTGCAGAGCTGGAAATTGGTATGAAACTCTCGAATACGAGGAGGACCCCGAACATCCAATTCAATACGTCATAGTGGAGGGACCAGCTAACACTACAAGGTAGGTTGAGGACCAGCTAACACTACAAGGTAGGTTGAGGACCAGCTAACTCTACAAGGCAGGTGGAGGACCAGCTAACACTACAAGGCAGGTGGAGGACCAGCTAACACTACAAGGCAGGAGGAGGACCAGGTAACACTACAAGGCAGGAGGAGGACCAGGTAACACTACAAGGTAGGTTGAGGACCAGCTAACTCTACAAGGCAGGTGGAGGACCAGCTAACACTACAAAGCAGGTGGAGGACCAGCTAACACTACAAGGCAGGAGGAGGACCAGGTAACACTACAAGGTAGGTTGAGGACCAGCTAACACTACGCGGTAGGTAGAGAAACAGTTTACACCGCATGGTAGGTAGAGGACCAGCTGACACTGCGAGGTAGGTAGAGGACCAGCTAACACCGCGAGGTAGTTGGAGGACCAGCTAACTCTACAAGGTAGGTAGAGGACCAGCTAACTCTACAAGGTAGGTAGAGGACCAGCTAACTCTACAAGGCAGGTGGAGGACCAGCTAACTCTACAAGGTAGGTAGAGGACCAGCTAACACTACAAGGCAGGTAGAGGACCAGCTAACTCTACAAGGCAGGTAGAGGACCAGCTAACTCTACAAGGTAGGTAGAGGATCAGCTAACTCTACAAGGCAGGTAGAGGACCAGCTAACTCTACAAGGTAGGTAGAGGACCAGCTAACTCTACAAGGTAGGTAGAGGACCAGCTAACTCTACAAGGCAGGTGGAGGACCAGCTAACTCGACAAGCTAGGTTGGGGACCAGCTAACTCGACAAGGCAGGTGGAGGACCAGCTAACTCTACAAGGCAGGTGGAGGACCAACTAACTCTACAAGGCAGGAGGAGGACCAGCTAACACTACAGGGTAGGTTGAGGACCAGCCAACTCTACAAGGCAGATGGAGGACCAGCTAACTCTACAAGGCAGGTGGAGGACCAGCTAACTCTACAAGGCAGGAGGAGGACCAGCTAACTCTACAAGGTAGGTAGAGGACCAGCTAACACTACAAGGTAGGTTGAGGACCAGCCAACTCTACAAGGCAGGTGGAGGACCAGCTAACTCTACAAGGTAGGTAGAGGACCAGCTAACTCTACAAGGCAGGTGGAGGACCAGCTAACTCTACAAGGTAGGTAGAGGACCAGCTAACTTTACAAGGCAGGTGGAGAACCAGCTAACTCTACAAGGCAGGTGGAGGACCAGCTAACTCTACAAGGCAAGTGGAGGACCAGCTAACTCTACAAGGTAGGTAGAGGACCAGCTAACTCTACAAGGCAGGTGGAGGACCAGCTAACTCTACAAGGCAGGTTGAGGGCCAGCTAACTCTACAAGGCAGGTGGAGGACCAGCTAACACTACAAGGCAGGAGGAGGACCAGCTAACAATACAAGGCAGGTGGAGGACCAGCTAACTCTACAAGGTAGGTAGAGGACCAGCTAACTCTGCAAGGTAAGTGGAGGACCAGCCAACTCTACAAGGTAGGTAAAGGACCAGCTAACTCTACAAGGTAGGTAGAGGACCAGCCAACTCTACAAGGTAGGTGGAGGGACGGGTAACACTACAAGGTAGGTGGTCAGGCTGGTCAGCACTTCAAGGGAGGTGGTTAGGCAGGCTAGCACAACAAGGTAGGTGGTCAGGCTGGCTAGCAGTACAATATCGTTACTATCCATGGCTACATCGTTCGCTATTAATTCACTTTTTCCTCGGTTTCAGATCTGAGTGTTGTCCCATGGATATGGATGGCTTTCAGATGTGGTTCAATAGCGACCCAGATGTCTGCTGTTGCGAGTCTCTCGTCGTCTAGGGGATGGATGTTTCGTTCAGTACATTATGCTTGCTAGAACATATCAAATACAATTATTATCAATTGACTCTTGTAGAAAAAATCTACTGGTTATTTTAATGGCTAATTTTGTTGTGTGAGGTCTGAGCGAGATTTCATTTTTCAGAAGACTCGAAAGAATGGGCTTATTTTTGAAAATATCTGATACTTGATCACCCTATTTATACAATTGTTATCAATAAAGTATAATGGTGGTTATAATGTTAAAGTGTGTACAACAAAAAACTATTTATAACAACACACATTTAATTTCATCCATTTTGCATTCACATAGGATAATTGGTGATTCTCTATAATGCACATGGAATGAAATGGTAAGACGAGGAAGACCTTTCTGATTATATGTATTTTATGATTGGTCAAAACCCACATGCTTCAAAAGACCAGACGATATTCACAAGCATTGCTTAGATAACTTCAAATTAGAAAACCGATGAATACTACAAGGACCGATCAAAAAGTTTCTTACCGTTGGCTCTCAATTTTATAATGAGAGGAGTTAGAAGCTCAAACTTTAACACAAGACAGGATAGTTAGTTTGCCTGAAACTGTTCGAGTTTCATATAAATTGGTTTATTGGTAGTGACACAGAGTCAATTTATATTTTCAATGACAAAGTTAGGTGGAGCAGCGTTATATATAAAAAATATCTGCTGACTTGTGTTTCTGGAAATTTACTGACATCGTTTCAAACCTCTCATACGAAGGCCTTAAACATGTGTTTTTGGATCGAGTGGACAGATATAGGAAGTGCATTGCCACTGGGGTTGAATATTTTGAATGAAAATGAATATTAGCAGAAAAACTAATTAAACATGATTAAACTACAGTCTGTTGACAGATGACACTACTTATAGTGTTAGAAAGGACGATTCTCGGTTTGGAGAACAGTCTCCTGGGCTAATATTTTTTTCATGAAAAATATAGAAATATTACCCAAATTAAACTATGAATATTCAAAAGAGGACATTTAAATCTACAAGATGTAAAAATATCAAATTGGTCTGGAGCAGGGATAACGCTCAATTAGACCGATTTTAATAAAATACAAGTCTCGATTTGGGGAAAGAAGTTCATCAGTGTATTGCGCTAATATTTTTTGAGAAAAATCTAGAAATATTACCCAAATTAAATTATGACTATTCAAAAGAGGACATTCAAATCTATATTATGTAAAAAAATCAAATTTGTCCGAAGCAGGGATAATGCTCATTTAGATTGATGAACTTCGTTCTCCAAACCGAGAATCGTCCTTTCAAAACTGTAGCTTAGCACAATTTTTTATAAAAAATGCCACTCCACCTAATTCAATCATTGAAAATATGTATTGACTCTGTGTCAATACCAATGAACCAATTTAAATGAAACTCAGACAGTCTCAAGCAAACTTACTACCCTGTCTTATGTGAAAGTTTGAGCATCCAACTTGTCTTATTATAAAATCTAGAGGCAACGGTAAGAAACTTTTTGATCGGCCCTTGTATAGCGATATTCCTCAAAACAATCAAATATTTCAAATAACATTACACTTTTATAAGTATATACATTACAAAGGACGATTCTCGAGAACAGTCTCCGGGGCTAATAATTGTTTTCATTGAAAATATAGAAATATTACCCAAATTAAACTATGCATATACAAAAGAGGACATTTAAATCTACAAGTTGTAAAAATAACAAATTGGTCTGAAGCAGGGATAACGCTCAATTAGACCGATTCAATAAAATACAAGTCTCGATTTGGGGAAAGAAGTTCATCAGTGTACTGCGCTAATATATTTTTTGCGAAAAATCTAGAAATAATACCCAAATTAAATTATGACTATTCAAAAGAAGACATTCAAATCTATATTATGTAAAAAAATCAAATTTGTCCGAAGCAGGGATAATGCTCATTTAGATTGATGAACTTCGTTCTCCAAACCGAGAATCGTCCTTTGCATTACCTTTATTTATCTGATGCGATCATTTTTGGCCCACCCTCTAATTATAAATAGTCTAGAAGCATTACACTCTGCTATACCTAACCCCTAGAAATGCATAAGATATGTTTGTAAAATTGAATTGTTTGGTATATTTTTGAAAGTACCTTATTATTAACATTTATTTATTATGTTATATTTTTTATATTTATCTTATTTAAGTGCCATGGTTAATAAATACATTAACAGTCATCCGATAAACGATTCATAAGGAACAGACACATAAAAACAAATCACATAATTATTACTGATCAGTCAAATGGATTGCTCACTAACACCAAATGCAAGGTCTAGATTAGTAGAGTGACGACGAGCCATTCCGTTTGTGATGGAATGCAAGATTAATACTATTCAATGAATATAGATGGCATTGTGATACTCAGACTTGCTGTACATAAGACACTTTACTTAAAGATGTCACTAGTAAAGATCCCACATACAACAGGATTCCTCAATTGACCCTACAAATTCCGCAATTTGTTTATATCTCCAACTGATTATTGTTGTAAGGAAAATATATTGATAAGTATCATAAAAATTGACATTAAAATGACACTAATGTAACGATATCCAACAGCGGAATTCTTTCACATTTTAATACCACTCCAACGCGTCAGTTTTAACCGGGTGGATTTTATGTAAGAATTTGCTAAATTGCAAATTCATGTTTTACTTTCCCCGCATGTCAATTTCAAAGATTTTCTGCCAGCCAGGTTTGATTGAAGTCGTCTTGAATTTCAACAGAGCAAAAAGGATAGAGACCACCAAATCGCCTCGTGCAATCTCAATTGCAATCCGCCCAACCGAACCCAACCGGAGTGAATTTGAATGTTGGTCGGTTGATAAACTACGAGTAAATGCAATCAAAATTGAATTAATTCATTATTTCTTTTTACAATTAATATCATTCCTTTTATTTGAGTTTGTATTTTATTTTTGATCAATTAATTGAAACTGATATTCGTCCAAATGCAAATAAATAATTATATCTACTTTCGAATCCCCCGGGTCGACAGAGATCCACATCGAAAAGTAGACAAATTGATTTAAGAATTAAAGTTGAACACATTTATGATTAATCTGTGTACTAGTATTTGTGTATCTTTATAAGTGATAACTAGACACGATTATCTTTCAAGGTTCTGTTTAACATCCCCATAATGTTTAACAAATATTTATTCCGAAAATGACTCGAACGTTTACTACTTTGTATACTATGGGAGGCACACTTCAAGTAAATATTATGTGTAAATATCTCGTTGTATGTTAGTGTGTTTCTGTATGATGTCATGAGATTTATTTAATGTAACATCTAATAGTATCGTAATATATATTTATGCTTTCTGATACCAACATACCACCAAATGTCATAACAAATTGTCGACTGAAGTCAGTTTGACATGATAGACTAAGTTAATGATCTTCATCAACGGAATATTTCCTGAATTTAAAAAGTTATTTCTTGTACAGGCGTCTGATTTGTAAAATATATTTGTCACAGTTTCATGATACTTTAAATACAAATATGTGCTTTTCTAGAAGGTTTTCTTGGGTATGTTTAATTTGTGATTTGGTTTTGGGGTTCCGACACTTCTCTCTGGTCATTTTGCCTAGTTCCTTTGTGTTATTGACTACATATTTGCAATTTATGGGCAAAAATACATCGCTGTATTAATATCATGAAAGATGCACAACCCCATGCTGACTGGTCTGACGGACTCGGCGTCTTTACCAAGCTGAATTCAATGCAAACTTTTCTCCATCTGTCCAGAACTGTTTCTACGAATCTGGAAATGGGATTATTATTAGACCCCATTCGAAGAGATAAATATAACGCCTGAGATTTGATGAGTGTGTGATACAGCATCTCATATTAGGCTCTTAGATAACGAAATCCGTTTATTTCTTCTAAACTGAAGAAACTAAGTTTAATGAATGTGGGAACATTTGCCGTAAGCTCTCCTCTCAGGATAATTTATTTCCTTTGAGATAATTCCTTCAGACATTTTTCACGTTTTGTATATATCTATGGACGTTTTGAGTCCATTAGAACGGCCAATACGTTAACTGGACATCCCTCAAGTAGTTGGCGAAATGACACTTTCAGTATGGCGTGTATATGGGCGGCTTGTTTGTTTCTAAAACATTCCGATATCGTAGTTTTATTGAATTTACTCTTGGTTCAATCTGTTCCTTGAACCAAATTTGTCAGGGGATAAGATGTTGTGATTCAGGAAGCAATTCAGGAAATAATAGAGATGTTTGGGTTAAAAACGTTTGCGAAACTCTCCAATGAAAGATCCACGTATAATATAAATTGATTAGGCACACTACTAAACAGAGTTTTCTTCTAAAGAAACAATGAATTAAAAGCAATTTGTGAAAAGGTTATTTTGATTAGGAGATCAAGTATATGTTATATACTATTTAGCACCCCCATTCCTGAAATACATAAGTGCCATGGTAAGGTCCTCATTTAGCTTGACTTGATTCAGCACCAGTGGAGTGAGAGAGTATGTCAGTATATTAATGTTTATAATATGCTTGCGGATCCAGGCGATCTCAAACGACTTTAGCTCCTTCGCAATTAGTTTCCCACAGTACTTAGATAATTTTAGTAATTTCATAAGATTACGTGGAACATCATAGACGGTATCTGAGATCTGTCGGTTTCTCTGCCAGCGAACAGTAATTCGGGGAGTAATTAGTAGCAGCGATAAGGTTCATATAATCTCCACCTCTTTCTGATAAATCAATTTTTATCATTAAAATAATTTCATCCTCTTGATTAAAGTATAAGAAGCTTAAAAAGACAAGGAAAGAAAAATAAATTACTCCGATTGGTGTTCCTAAATCAGAAAAGACAATACAAGAGCAGATATCTTTATTGTGTCTGATCTCATCAAGGGAAACGTTGAAAATAATGCACCCTTCATCTGGTAAGTCAAATCGCGCACAGCAGTGTTTCTATGTAGTTTGACATAGAAGTAGACCTGAAATCGAAGAGAACACTGAGCATTGAAATCTGCTAAGGCCATTGCTAGATAATTGTAGATAGAGCCGACATTGCCCCATCGCATCACTAATAGCGTAGGATTCCTCACACCGATGGCACTTACAGATTTAATGGTTCTAATGAAGCATTCAAGATGTACAATACATTTGCCAGACTTTTTAAAGTATGTGCTAATAGCGGTGTAGAATGGAACGTTTTGCCACTGACAGCACTTCCAAGTGCTAGCGTTCCTATTATAAATGCATAAATCAGAGCTCTGTTAGCAAAAGGTGAAAACCAACACCTTTTAATTAATCTAGCAGATTTTCGTCTTATCCTGTTGTTAATCAGACGTTGTTTTAGATCATCCGTAAGAAACACAAGTGATGTTCATGTTAGACCCATTTTTGTAATCGACATGCCTCATTGTACATTGATTTAATAATCGCGCGGTATATTAAAATATAAAACAAATTCTGAACCAATGATAAATTATTTCTAATACTATTATCTATCTATTTCTTATACAAAATAAGCTTGGTTTAATCTCACAAGACATCGTTAGCTCACGAGCGAGCAATATTAGGGATGGTTACCTATTTAGACATTAAACACCGAGCAACAGAAATTGCTGAACCCCTATTATCCTTATTCTGCTCGTTGGTAAATTCTTGATACTATAAGGAATGTTATTTAAGTCAGTTTGCAAAAAACGACCTGGGTGCCTGGCTAGCAACAAGTGCCGGTGTCTGAACAATCATTTTAATGGATGCTTTTGAAAAAAATAACAAAAATAATTAAATTGAATTCCGGAAATTAATTCACCACAGGGGTCCTATTATGCAGTAGTATGTAATGATGCAGCATAGCCTGTATAGACGAATGGACTTTATTTTGTTGGTTTTTAAACTTATATTACAATCCAGACGTGATAACAAAGATTACTACAGATGCACAGATACACTTCAAGCTGTGCCACACGCACAATATGACGTGACATTTTGGACAATTTCACGATGAGAGTCGCGGGATTTTGCAATCTCTCGGGAATTAAGACTGACAACTAAATGTTTTAAAGTTTTAGGTTTATTGTATAAAAAACGTTAGGTCCTGACACAATACATGAATAACCTGGCTTAGACAAAAGCTTCCATGACCTATTGTGACTCGATGTAAATGTAACCAACCGGTTGCAGCTGCACAAATAACATGGCCTCCCAAGATTTTAGCATTAATTTATAACCAAGAAATGGTGTCATCATGCGCCATTTGTCATCGTAAACTGTCAGCAAAAACTGTGTGGCCGATAAGCACGTGCGACCAGATGGTGGGAAGAATTTGGAAAAACTTATCCGACTCAATTAATTCTCTGGTGTTAGATCGTTGAGGACCCTGGATTTTGTTTTTTGATTTATCCTTTGGTGCCTTGCTCCAGTGAACTAAATTGGCTTGCTGTATTGAAACCTTGGGCTTTATCTATTGAGCACTAGTGATTTGCTTTCGTGAACCTCATTGAATTTAAGTGACTCGCTTTATTAATGTTTAACAGTCTTGCGATTTGCTCAATCTAACTCCGTTGGCTCTCTCTATTGAACTATTGTGCCTTGCTCAATTGGGAATTATTCTCACATGTTGTACTTCGATTAAATTCCAATAAAACAAAGCAAGTTATTTAAAATATTTAAAAGTATTCTTTTAGCTTCTCTCTCGATAACTCGAGCTACATATTTTGGGGAGATGGAAATGCGGAAAATCATAAACTATTGCAGTAAATTATGTACATGAGTCAAAATGTCAGGATCTTCGACATGAAACATTCGTTGGTCCCCTTGTCGTTCCGAAAGTTCTGGTTTCTATATGCCATGTCTCATTTTACGCGACCCTTAGCGTTGTAAATACTGTTAGTGTTTGTTTCATCCTTTAGTGTATCTTTACCATTTTTGTTGTATCTTTACTTCCTAAACATTTCATTTTAATGAGTAGTTAATATTTCAGTTTGCATATATCAAAAGACCTTCATTCGTTTAAATTATACATATATCTTAAAATTATATCGAGATATGATATAATTATGTTTAAGTTATGCATAGAATGCTGTGGGTGTTGCGGCTATTCGTCAATGCATTGTCCAAAAGAAAAAAGCCATGTATGTTTACATCGATGATAATACTAGACACATCCGTAACCAGTTTTAAAAATATATATAAACATATAAACATTTAATAAAACCAAAGACAGTTATTAGATTGGATTGATGTCCAATATTTAGGACTTCTGGCGTGGTGCAATGTAACGGAAATTACAATTATTTTATTTCAATGTTTTATCTAATTTTATAAGAAAATCAGTACGCCACTTAGACAACCTGATATTACTTAGAAAACCACTGAAAATGGATCGCATTTTCTCTAGCAGTCAAATTGGCTACTGCGTTTAAATACATGTTGCGAAGGAATGTTTTTGAAACACTTGACTCGAAAAGTTCTGGGTTGAGTTGTCGCCTATTACATTTGGACCCCCTCCAGACCTGCTATCGAGTTTCAATTTTCTCATCTTGGACCCTAGTATATTAACTGTATTTAAGCGATTGGTCAAATAAATCACAATTGTTTTTATAGATGATAGCATCTTTGATATTCCATTCAGCAACTTTAATTTCTCTACGCGCAGTTTCGGGACCTTCCTGATATTCAACTGGTGGTTTAATTTACAAGACGGGACCTGTTACATGTGCTTGTGGTACGTCACCATAATTATTGTCATATTTAGTTTTTTCAGCTTTATTATTTAGTTTCATATAACCGATTTAAACTCTATTCAGACCATCCTATCTCATCGTTTTGCTCATGCTGCACCTTCTTCTTTCTCGACAATATCGGTGTCATACAACACGTATTGACATGTTCAGTGCATGAGATTTTAAATCATGTTCAAGTAGAAAACAATAACAGATATATGAAACAGTAAAAAATGTAAAAACAAAAAGCCACATTCAAAACAAACCATCTAACCCCCACCCCGACTTCATGTAAAACAACTTCTGAAATGAGTCTGCCAAAAAGAAAATATGGTGAAATAATTGAACATTTTAAACCCAAGCAGAGAGGTATCTTAAAAAGAGTAAAAGATACTGTTAGATAAACAAAAAATACTAGTAACAGTAGGAATTGTTTTTAAATCTTACAAGTGGTCTACTAAGTGACTGTATACACAATCTCGGCAAATATTTCCTACCAACCCCGGACCTGTGAGGTTGCTACTTAAAAACCTATACGATGTCGTATTTTTGACATTATTCTAGACTTTATGAATGCGTTTGACGTCATCAGATTAAGAAATGATCTAAAGAGTCATAGAATCGTGTAGATTTATGTTACTCAGCATTGAACTAACCAGGTGTTTCAGCATTCTTGCATTTCAAAAGGAGTTGGAGGAAATAATTGGTTTCTTTGGCCCCTAGATCAGGAGGCAATTCCATAAGTGGCCAAAGAGGTCATTGCTTCATACGTGCATTTATATAATGTTCTTTCGGTCCATAATCCCTGGTCCTGTACTTCATTAGAAAGCACAAGGGCAACATTTGAATACAGCAAACGCGTTTGCATGAACCGAAAATCTGCAATTTATTTGCAATATTGTCACCCATTGGTATCATACAAAGAGCTCGTTGACAGAGTACATTTTGAGACTAGATAATGGGGTCTTTGAAATAGTTTAAAATCAGGGAAAACAACAAACACTGTCCACAAGAAATAAGACACAGTCTTAGAAGTGACTTAAGATCGACTATATGAAAATAAATACATTGTGAAAAGGATTTAGGGTCAAAATGGCTCATATTTCGCCCGATTGTATTCAATTGGGTGGCCCCGGACTTAGTACGGTGGTTTAGACCCAGAATTTTAAATGTGATGATCTCAAATATCTCATTCCTAATTAGTTTAACAGGCACCATACTGTGTTAGTAATTGCAAGAATAAAATACCAGTTTTAGAAAAACAATACAAATCTGCAACATCATTATCCGTTTATCTCGGTTCGTTTCAACTACTCCATAGGGTAGGCATATTCTTAAAACTTGTTTTCAAACATTTTTTCTTCACTTGATGTGGATTTGTGAATTCTTTGGATCGCTTGCGTTCGTTAGAGATCTGCGCCAATCATAATCCAGAATCAAAGACTGACAGGTCACGTGGTCCAGATGGGTATGCTCTTGGTGAGTCTGGACTCAGCGGGAGGATTTGATAACGCTCACTATGCATTAAGATTCAGCTTGAATTTCATGGAGGTTTAAAAGGACTAACTGTTAAGAATTTGGATCATTCTCTGTCGAGTTAGACACATAGCAGGAAAGCATTGAGTAACCGAAGCTGTCAAGTAAACATTTAGAAATAATACAGAGTTGTGGAGACGGCGCTGATGAAGAACAATCCCCAGTTGTGCACAGGCAACGCTCCGACATACGCAAGCAATCTGTAGTTATCTCTGGGCGTTTAGAACTTATTCGTGCGTTAAGGGTCTTATCATCAAACAGCCCCAGTGTTTAATATTGCGACTCTGTAGGGGAAACAAAGTCAGAGAATATCTTAAAGATGAATCCAAACAATGCATACGTTAAGCAGGAGGCAATCACCATGATGGGTGATAATATAGTAGAAGATCTAAAGCGCCAGTTTGCGCCTCAAGGTGTAGGCGCCGTAAAAGAACTTGAACAATCGAGCAATACAACTTTGCAAAAAATTGCAAACACTTCACCAAATACAACATCTTGCATGGACCGTAACTCAACGTCAACTGATCAGAATGATCGTGTATTTAATAATATAGAGGAGAAAAACAGTGATGCTAAGGAAGCTCCTGGTAGCCCTAAAAATGGTAAGATGAAACCCGCTGGACTGAGACGACAAGAGAAACCACCCTATTCTTATATCGCACTGATTGTCATGGCAATCCAAGCGAGTGCAACGAAGCGATGCACACTTAGTGAGATCTACCAGTTTCTGCAAACAAGGTTTCCATTTTTCCGAGGCTCTTACACAGGGTGGAAAAACTCGGTGAGGCATAACTTATCACTGAACGAATGCTTCAAGAAGCTCCCAAAGGGTTTGGGTCGACCAGGGAAGGGACACTATTGGACGATTGATCCTGCGGCTGAGTTTATGTTCGAAGAAGGATCTTATAGACGACGCCCGAGGGGGTTTAGGCGCAAGTGTCAGGCGATGAGCGGAATGATGCACCCTTACGGTATGGCTGCCATGCATGGTCACCCTAACTCAGGCATGCTTGGAGGTGCCTACGATATGTTCCACCAAAATGGAATGACGATGAACATGCAAACACCTAGCAATAACACCGCTCAGCAATACGATCCAAACAACATGGCAGCCGCCATGGGCAACTCCACCGTATATGGAAACATTATGGGCTCAATGACGGGACCAAATACAAGCCTTTCTCAACAATATAGCGGAGTAGGATCGCATACGCTACCCACGACACCATCTGAGTACAAGTACTCACCAATCACACAAGACTATAAATATAACCCAACATCTCAAGATTATAAAGACTATAGTACGACACAACTACCTACCTCTAACCCTAGCCCATATGAGACGCGGGAACAATGGAGTGCTGCGTCCCAAGCTCAACGCTACAACATATCCAGTAATAACAATGTAAAACAGCAACCGCTGTCGCCGACGGGGAGCACAGGGTCCCTCAGTTTATCTCCCACCTCCAGTAACGAGACGAGTTACGCACAGCAGGTGCCTGTGTCCCAAGCTACCCTAGAACCCGTAGATCTCGCCATGTCGGCATCAACAGGTAATATTATAATTTTCAAAAAGTTTTCTAGAATTATTAGTATGTACTAATAATTCTTATACAAGACAATATTTCAAATATTTTGTGTGTAAATGCTTTCACAAACTAAGTTATTCAGTCCAGTAATTTATCAGAATTAAAGATAAACTAAGAGTAAGGCTCTAAACGACCATTTCAGTTTGTAAATAGGGAACGAGGTATTACTGAATGGCCAAAAAGAATGATGTGGTTGTTCAATTTGTTTACCATGAGCTTCATTGTTATAGATACCGTTTTACTATTTTATAGAAATTGATTACAAAATATTTAGGTTTAATGTTTCAATATTATCTTCAGTTATGCAATTACATAAATATAGACTAACTAACCATAAGCCCCACAACTTAGAAAAATATTTACAAATACAATCATTGTAAAATAAATAAAAATAAACAACCTACAATATTTCAATTCATAGTTTACTTAACATCTATCCTGAAGCTTCAATAACGGAATCCTCTGAAAAATTAATTATACTTTTGAATAAGCAATGAGCTTTACAATAAAATAAAGGCTTTAGAATAAATGAAATGTTCTCTACATATATTCAAAAATCGGTTTTAATTCAAGTAAATAGTTCCGTCTTTAAGCTACTTCCCTATGTCTTATAGTCGGCATCGGATCAGTTGCCATGTTTTGAAATTCGGATCTTGTAACTTTGTTCAGACATGAACGCCAGTAATAATGGAACCATGTGACTTTTCTTAAGTTGTATTAAATTATGGAACAAAGCAATGAAAGAATAAGAGAAAGATTGGAACAAATATGTATCTAATCAACACGAATAAAACATGATTTAATTACATTTCTGTTACTTGGTTTTAGCTGATAAATTCAAGTTCATATATTATTTTAAAAAATCAAAAACGAATCTATTAAAAAATAATACGGCTGACTTTAGGGTGCCTCAATTTTATAGTTGGACATTTTAGATTTCAAACATTCGCACACTTAGTGTGTTGTCCATACGATATCATTTCAAAGAAATTCTCTCAATTCCAGTGGAAGGCAACAAAACACACGATTCATCATAATCTAACAAGGCTTACTAATTTCTTCTTTTTTCAGAATATCTCATATCTATGCCTATCCTCCTCGGCTGTCAAAAAACATGTTTTCTCAGGTGTAAAGGATCGTGTTAATTTATGGGCATCGGTGGTGAATAGAGCCGGTTTAGAGTGAAATACGACGTGAGAAAAATCTTTACCACATGCTAAGATTATGAACACATTTCACTTGGTTCTGTCTTTGTTTCTTGTATATTTTCCTAAGTTTTTCGAAGACGCACTACTTGTGTTTTATGAACTCAGAACGTAAACTATCATGGGAAACTTATAGCCGGTGTCTATAATATGGACAAATTATTTGTTGAAAGTAAAGAAAGATGAACTTTCATCTCACAACTACACGAGTTCTATATAGAATATTAAAAATAACAATCGTGTTGTCCTATCCACGATATAATTCTTACGGTAGCTTCCAGGACAATTTTATTCTAAACATTATTTAAACACACAATTTAAGGTGAATTTAATATTGCAACGTTGCCCCCTCCTCCTGAGTAATACCTGCATCCACCATGCCAAAAGCCAAAAAAATTAAATAGCATGCTATCCGTATACAAAAAAAGCTCTAACACATGTGTTTGATTAAAATGAAATGATATCTGAATTCTAAATTCTATAGCTAATATGCTTATTTCTAAATACATACATACAAAATACTGAACCAAAACGTGTCTCAAAACAATTCAAAAGCCACGCGTTATTTTAAAATAGTAACACAATTCTTCAAAAGCACACGTTTGATTGAAATAGCCCATAGGAAAACATAATTATTTGATTAAAATAGCATTTAAAACATAATTCTTCAAAAGCACGTGTTTCGTTAAAATAGTTGTGTATTCACAAATAATTCTTCAAAAGAACGCGTTATTTCAAATAATCCTTTAGAAAATCATAACTCTTCAAAAGCAAACCTTTGATTAAATAACATTTAAAACACAATTCTTCAAAAGTACGCGATTGGTTAAATTTAAGTTGTATAGAAAAACATTTAACTCTTCAAAAGAACGCATTATAATAAAATAGCCTAAAGAAAAATCATTCAAAAGCAAACGTTTGATTAAAATAGTTGTATAGAAAAGCACAATTCTTTGATTAAAATAGCGTTTAAAACACAAATCTTCAATAAGGACCTGTTTGGTTAAAATAGTTGTATTGAAAATCATAATTCTTTGATTAAAATAGCGTTTAAAACACAAATCTTCAATAAGGACCTGTTTGGTTAAAATAGTTGTATTGAAAATCATAATTCTTTGATTAAAATAGCGTTTAAAACACAATTCTTCAATAAGGACCTGTTTGGTTAAAATAGTTGTATTGAAAATCATAATTCTTTGATTAAAATAGCGTTTAAAACACAAATCTTCAATAAGGACCTGTTTGGTTAAAATAGTTGTATTGAAAATCATAATTATTTGATTAAAATAGCGTTTAAAACACAAATCTTCAATAAGGACCTGTTTGGTTAAAATAGTTGTATTGAAAATCATAATTATTTGATTAAAATAGCGTTTAAAACACAAATCTTCAATAAGGACCTGTTTGGTTAAAATAGTTGTATTGAAAATCATAATTCTTTGATTAAAATAGCGTTTAAAACACAATTCTTCAAAAAGGACCTGTTTGGTTAAAATAGTTGTATTGAAAATCATAATTCTTTGATTAAAATAGCGTTTAAAACACAAATCTTCAATAAGGACCTGTTTGGTTAAAATAGTTGTATTGAAAATCATAATTCTTTGATTAAAATAGCGTTTAAAACACAAATCTTCAATAAGGACCTGTTTGGTTAAAATAGTTGTATTGAAAATCATAATTCTTTGATTAAAATAGCGTTTAAAACACAAATCTTCAATAAGGACCTGTTTGGTTAAAATAGTTGTATTGAAAATCATAATTCTTCAAAAGCACACGTTTGATTAAAATAGCCTAGAAAAAATAATTCTTCAAAGAAATCTTGACGGATGTGATGTGCAGACAAGTTGAAATCTATCTGATAAAGCTCAGCTACCCTATCGTGCAATATATTAGCAATCTGGTTCACATACGTTCATGACTAACTCAAATTGCTGCAGTTTCAATCGTTTTGTGGATCAGATTATACCCTACATGTTCAAGATGCTTGTCGGATGATCCCGGGGTTATAAACGGATCAGCTGATTGCTCAATAATCACTTTTGATACCCACCACTCTGGATAAACTTGAAACATTTGAATTTTGCGTAATTTCGTAATTTTTCTTAACTCCAAATCTAAAAATGCGTTCATCTATTATTTTCACGACGACATTTTTGGAGGAAGTTTTTACATATTTGATATTCATAATCTTACCTTGAGTTCCAGTAAGGAATTCACATATTTCTTGCAAAGTTTCTTACAATGTTTGTGATGAACAAGGGAATATGGCAACATTTTGCAGAACACAATTCACTAAATACTCAATAAATATCTTAAGACACATTTTACATTTTCCAAACATAACGTTAATAATACAGAAATATTGAAAATTCACTGGGTAATTAAAACATTTTCGTCAACAGAGTAAGCCAGAGTAGTTCATGAAAAAACAAATAGCAAATTGAGATTTGACGGTTTGAGGCTTATTTGTTGCCATGGGCAAAGTGGAAGCTTAAAGCTGTATGTTCTTGACGCCTAGCGTTGACGCCTTGTTGGCTTGGGCACTCGAGTCCAGTAGTGGTATACAACATAGCACGTAGTGATACGTGTAGATTCTTGAGGTTTTGAAAACAAAACGAATCTTGGGGAATCATCGGACAGCGAGATTGTTATCATGGCATGGCTCTAATGGCTTCCATGTCAGAACTTCAATAAATTCCACGGTTATCCATCATAAAATAACATCCAGAACCTAGAAGGCAAATTATGTTTCTTTATATATTTCAAACATAAATCTCAGGAAGTATTTATAAAGATTAACAAATTGGATAAAATTTGAATCATCGATTATAAAAAGAATTTCGTAAGTTCCAGTTGCCAAAATAAAACCCAAACTGTACAGATTTAAGTGTATAGAAATGACTCCGGGCGGGCAAGGGTAGACAAAATGCCTTGTTCTTGCTAGACATGAAATCTTGAATCTTGTTTTGATATCTTGTCGGAATTATTAGTGTCAGAAATTCTAGTGAAAGATAATATCATCTCATACTGATAGCCATGTGATGTAAAAGGATTATGGATTTAGCGATGGTGAGATAATCTGCTACAATCTGTAATTTTTATTGACTTAGTATTAATTAGATTATATAATATTATTTGAGCGTGGTTGTTGGTGTCGTGACATTATTTTCTTTTTCATCTGACACGTGCATTTATAGATTATTCGTTGCTGGTAGCGCATGATATAAAAGTGGGTAAAATCCATTTATAACTTTTCAATCAAAATACTCTTTCACGCTTATTTTACATGTTTACTTCATAAACTTTATTTCTTTATCTTCATTAATATATCATGAATATATTAAGACCAGGAAAGAAATAATAAACCACTCAAACTGGTGTTCCTGTTTGGTGGAAGAGTATGGGGTTATTTCAAAATAGAGTGAGGTTTATGTTCTGATTTTCTCATGCTGTAAAAGTTGGAGAACCATTTCGTTAATGTACATTATCACATCATTAAATTAATCAAAAAATTCCCGTGTGAGATCAAGTAAAACACATGTGTTTCAATTAACATCTTGTACAAAGATTGTAGAAGGTTTTGTGGAAGATTTATTGAGATGTTTCACCGCATTGTGAGTTAGGCCGTCTGCTTAGCATCAAAGCGGGAAAACATCTTTCGCGTAAGAGAAGAAGAAAATTCAGATTTCTATGATCTAATGGTTTTAACAGGCTCACCATCTGGTCCCATCTGCTTGAATACTTACTGAGCATTCAGAGGTTTCTAAAGGGTGGTCCTAGTGCATTCTTGCTCGTATTTAATGCCACCAATTTGTCAAGTTGGTCTTAAAAAACCTAATGAATCTCAACCTATCACTACGCGGTCATGCCAGGCTAATAAATAACACAGTCTTAAACTTGTTACATTGGACTTTGGTTTTCACACAATTTCTCAAATAGATTAGAAGACAAGTGAAGAAGAGATGACATTTCTGTATTACATTGTACTCATCCATCTGGCAAAGGGTCAACTTTGAGCACTTAATTACATTTCCATTTTTACATTGTTGGAATGTTTTGGAAATAAAGTCCAATATAATGATTTTTGCCCCATACTTATTCAAAGGGATTGGTTAGGAACAAATTGCGATGGAAATACTTTGCCTCGGACTCATAAGGCTTGTCCGGGTTCGGGGAGGAAAATGAAACTTTTGGGATAAGGGGAGAATAAGTTGTCACCTGACGCATCTAACCAAGTTCATTAGTTCAAATCATATAGCCACATGCCATTATATATGTTTTGTAACATGATACTGATTCTTTATGGCAGTTTTCACTTGCAACAGAATATCTGTTTTTCTCAATGATGTCTTCAGTTTTCCTACCAGAAGACACACCAGGCAAAATTGTGAAACACAAATCAACTGCTAAATCAGCGGCAGCCAGAAATTCAAGCATTTGAAATTCATGAAGATGCTAAAATCAGATTTAACATTGGAAAAAACACATCCTTCATTTTGTTATTGGTTTGAATTATATTCACGCTGCTCGTTGGAATTATCACTTAGTCGGTTTACAAAACGATTCCATCTCAGTTTATTTAAAGCCAGCGCTGTTCCATAAACTCAACCAAATTTTGAAACTTATATGTAAACTTTCGACGCGCGTACCTTGTCTTGCGAAAGTGTTAATGAATAGTTGCAGAGTGTGATAGTTTACTATATTTATATACAAATCGCACCTCAGACCAAACTTCAATGGCAACATGGCTGGTTGATTACTGTATAATATAAACTACAATAAACTTTAAAGTTGGTAGCGTTGAAGCATACGGCCGTCGTAGTATACAAAACATTCCGAAGGGGGTTAACTAATCCCATAGTCTTACAGATGAAGATAGGAAACGCTGAGAATGTTTCAGAAATGTTTAGATAGCCAAGGGAGATGAAGAAATTCTAAGGGAAAGCAGATATTTGCAGAACATTAGTAATGAAAACTATTCCGTATTGAGAGCATTAGCTGAATGGAAGACAGATTTTCAGCAATGAAGCTATTTAGAAAACTCTCTCATCACTGGAGAATTCAAACTTCAAGACAGAATCTTCTGTTTTTTCAGGAACTCGATCGACTTCTAGAAAATGACTGTATTTTTCTTGAAATCAAAACTACTAATGTGCATGAGATACCAAAACAACAAAACTTAACTTTCATTGGTTACAGTCGGGTTTCTTTAGATCTATCCAATATTTTAAAAGAACTGACTTGGCTCAATTTTCTTAGAAACTTAATATTTCTGTGTCTCGCAAACTGCATGGTAAAACAACAACTCCAAGACAAATGTTGTTATTTTTCTGGTCTTTTGATTTCCCAAAATATGCCAAAGGGATACTTTGTTGTTTTTAAAGTTAAATGCCATGAATGCAACACAAGAGTCGATACTTTGCATTCCAATATAAAAACTAAAATAATACCTTTATATTTTGGCTTGCTCTATTGATGAACAGGTTGATTAATGGGCTGTGAGCTGAATTATCAAATATTCCAGCTTTGTTTTCATTACTTTTTTACGATTTTCATTACGATTGTCAAATGAATTTTAATTTTAGATGATTGTATTCTCCGTAATTTTATTCGAATTAGCAACACACCAGTATATTTGAAGAGGGAATTGTATAACAAAGTACGCTGTAATAAATTCAAATGGAGACATATATGTTATATACACAAAGAAATATGCAACGTTACTTTGATTTAAGTTTATTAAAGATTTAATTACAAAAATATTCTTTGTTACATGTATGACTAATTTGTAAGGAATTTGATGGTATTTTTTCATGGGATTGAGATTTTTGAAAACAAGTATCCTTATTCAACTTGTTCACTTGTCTGCTTGTTTTACATGGAGATTGTTCGTTACATTTTTCAAAATGAATATTAAATTAAAAGTGGTCACTAAACTAATCCGCAAATCGAAATTAAGTAGACACATTTTAGAAATATCTAATTGCGTAATACTAACATAAAATTAATCAAGTTAGGAAAATTACTAATGGGTGGTGGCTGATATAAGATAAGAATATTACGGTATAATTTTCCATTTGGGAATATCTAGTTGTTAGATCTAAGTGAGAATGTGTCTCGAGAGTTGAATTTAAGGGGTTAGACGCCAACCGGGCTAAGTGTTACAGGTTGTTCAAGCGGCTTCAAAGTAGCACTGGAAATAGGGTGGGTATATGATACCTTGGCCGCACACACACTTCGCAACAGTAGCCTTACACCCGCTATCCCAGACGCATAAAATGGCCGTCTTTTCTTTGATTTTGATTGGCTGTTGCGTAACCATGGCAATGTTGTCGGTTCTTGAATTGCAGAGATTGAAATTAACTGCCCTAGGGCCATATGGCTGTCCAGAGTTGGTATAACATGGGATATCATTGTGCCAAGTTTGATTAGGACAGACGTTCTGGAGATGGTTGGAATAGTTTGTAATTAGCTGTGAAACTGCAGAACGCTGTTAAAAGCCAAACTGACAAACTTGAATATAGTCATACAAAAGAAAGTTTGAATCTGAATTTTCCTCCTAAAATTGTCAATAAGGTATTTACTACTCCAAAGTAACACATTGTGGCAGTGCTATTTCCTAAGTTTTGACAAGTTAACTCGAACGCAACATAACTCCAAAATTCCACAATCTTTAGAATCTTCAGCTGTAGAACTTTGTTATATTGTGAACATGTGTGTGGTTCATATTGTATGAAGTATCACAAATACTCCCAGTGTGACATAACCGCCTTAGCACAGTATCGAATTGTAAAAGTGGGTGTCCAAGTCAAACGCAATTTCACGTAACGTCGCATAAGCCACGGTTTTGTTTTCCTCGCCTTGTCTAAGTAAAATAAACTAAAGTAGACCAAGTTTTCACACTTTAATCAAGCGATTAAACAAAATATTTATGCTTCATTCAATTAAGAAAAATTGTAGATATTCATTGAAACATAAGCAGACATTTAGAAGATCAAATTACTCCACCATAGCGATTATAAAGAGTTTATTATCATTAAATATAAATACGTTTATTCAATTAATTGATATTAAACCAAATGTATATAACAACTTATTAATATATTCATTTTTATGTATTTCCAGGACTGAAAGGCTCACAGAGTGTAAACTACAGTGCGCAAGCGTACGACAGAAAAGCACCCAGCTACTACCCATGCGCAATGAATGGACTTAGCTCACCCACCGTTCAATCAACACCCTCATACGCTCACCATTTTGACAATAGTGTAAAATACCCACTGTATTCTGGAACTCCGTGAAGACCCCAACAAAGGATTCATCAAGCTCTTGATCTATAAACTTTAGGGATCATAAATATTTGTATATTTTGGACTGAATATCTATATTAAGACTGAACTTTTTCTATGCTGCGTCGACATGGCACAAAAACTTGTACAAAATCACAAAGTGCCAAATAGTTTCTAATTGGAACTTATGAGTCATTTTAGTCATTTTTGTAAATACCTACATTTATTCATTACTCGTTCGAGTCAGACAAAATCAGGGGAATTATATACTGTATTATTAATATTTTGCCAATAACGTGTCAGTCACTGTTAGTCTAGTACTGAAATAATAAGTTTGCCATTAATTTGAGTTGAAGTGTGCCTTCCTGAAAGGTCTCCTTGGTCCCTGTTAAGATAAGGACCGTTATCCTGCTAGTTTCGGGTATATCAGCCATGCTTCATCGCCACCCGTCTTTAACAACAAGTAAAATGCATAAATAAGAGGCTTGGACTGATAAGGCGCGTAACAAGAAACCCTGTGTTGATTACACGTCTTTAAATTAGTGGTTTATACGAGGTGTTTCCAAAAATGATTGAACTATACTTTTAGTCCTCCATTGCTAGAGATTTGCTAGCTTCAGGACCTTCAATCTTTTTTGGAAGTTTGGCAAAATGGATCCATAGGAAAATGCCCATGGGCAGACAATTACATTTTGTATGCGTTTATTATTTACTGTATCAAGACTTGTTAAAAATATTTCGGGCAATCCTCGTATACATGCTATTGGTACATGTGAAACTGATGGTGAATTTTTAAACTCTCTTATTCCTGATTTATGTTTGTATGTAAGTCATTATTGTGTGAATCTGTAAATTGGAAAGTAGACTCTCGACACCGATCACGAAATATGTTCCTCAATTGGCATTTATGAAATGTACCATGGACTGGCATCACGAAATGTGCCTTCATATACGCATTATAGTTATTATCCCATCTTTCACTAGCATTACAGAAACACCTGATGGTATAATGCTATTGTTAGTCTTTTTTGACACATGTTTTTATTGAATGATACTGCTGTAGGCCAACATTGTGCAATGTTCTAATTGAGTGCCAAAATGTTCATCATTGTTATCACAAACCATTTTAGATATACACCTCAACTCATTGTATTTTAGCATTTGATATATATTACAATACTGTAAACCATATTTTATGTATGATTATTATAATAAAAAATAAAAACCTGAGATATACTTTTACATTATTTTCTGGTTATTTCTTGAACTAGAATAGATTCATCACTCTATTGACAGGCCTGGGTCTGTTCTTGAAGTAATCTGACATTATGGAGATTTATCATAAATTACGCTCAACTTCACTGACATAACGTCAGTGTTCTGGAACATTCTATTACAGATACTTATCATGGGCGTAGCCAAGGGGTGCGATTGGTGCGAACGCCCCCCCCCCCCTCCATAACCAATCAAAATAAAACCGTTAGATCGAAGATGCTTTTTATTTGAAGCCTTTGGCTCAATTTTAAGGAAGTTACATCATTTTTTTAAATTTAAATCAAATCTTAAACATTTTTTTAAACTCGTGTATGCCACGATCGCAGAGTATGTGATATTCAAACGCTATTACCTCATAATTTATTTCATCGCTTTTTCAAGACCAATGGGAAAATGCAAGACGTCGATGTTCACCATTTCACTTCGTTATGTCCGCCAAATGGCAAACAGCAACTTCACACAATAGCTGTCCCCAAACTTTGTCCAACCCCCCCCCCCCCCCCCAAAAAAAAAGTACAAGCGAGTCCAGTGCAATGGGTTCTACCATTCAAGCCCAACTGCACACCAGGCAGTGACTCGGAAGCGATGGCTTACATTTGAAATACCCTGCGTTTTAATCTGGGTGGAACTCCTACGCAATGATTTACACGATGAGTAGGGAGCGCTTATGTTCGACCAACCTTGTACGATAATATATTACGAAATGTGGTTTCAAATATGATCAAAAGTGCTCTTTAAAATGTGATTTAGTTGAATTCCGATGCAATGACCACCAACAAATGAACAAGAGCCCAGCTGCAATCCAAGGACCGTGATTTAGTGAGTGCTTGTGTAGGGGACATTAATCTCCCTGCTATGGAACAGAACACCCAAGAATTGTCAGTTATCCTTCGACAGGCAGTCAGCTGAAATTACCATCACTGTCATCGGCGTCTTGATCAGCCCATCAGACAAAATACCCTGGACAAGGGTGTACATGACGATCCTTGATGGCCTCAACTGGAAATGGCCGTCGGTTTTTAGGTTTCAAGACAATTGCCACCTGTTGTGGCATAGCTGGCTATTAGTGAGGAACGGGACAACAATCGGAATATCACTTTCAATGGTATCAGTATTAAAAAAGGGATATAAGTTGTAAGAGGAATTTAACATTTCATATGATATTCAGCAATCCATGGATAAATATTTTGCATGAAATAACCATATTGATACTGTAAATGAATAATATATGGGTCTGCCCATCTCATAATAATAGGCGATCATTACATGTCTATCAATATCTTTATATGGAATATATTGCAATTTAATTTCAAAGTAACCACTAATCCTCGAAGTACAAACAAGATGTTTCTCATTGGTGGTCCAGCAATGTCAAGAATGCCTTCAAATGATGATGGATACCGACCCTAAAATATCAAACATTTCTCGAGTGGAAAGCTCAGAGAAACAGAGAAATCGTGGTGAAAATGTGTCACATTCATACCAATTCATACCCCCTGCTATAAATCTATGCAAAAAAGTTTGACGCTTTTCATTTTTTCTTGAAAGAATACTTAAATAAGAAAACAACCGCCAAAAGGTCGTCTGCAAGATTTTAGGACACGATTAAGATATCACGAAATAGTATCGCTTTCCCAGTCATCTGTAACCCAAATCCTTCTAAAACCATATTCATGTGGCGAAAACAACCAATGAAACAATTTGAACAATTTGAACGAATGGACCTTTAATCGTAGAAATGGTTCTATTTCAAAATCTTCATCCTAATTGTACGTGTCTTGTAATGTATGTTTTCCTTTTTGTTCAACAGCTCAACCCTATGGATTTGATTATATGGCGGTTTGGTTATAATTACTGCTTATCAATTTTGAAATTAAGCAACAACTTGGAAAGCACCAAAAACATTTAAAAGTGGCTTGGACAGCGTACAGCTGGGGTTTGTAAGCCTCCAAAGTAGAACCTCTCCTGACACGCTTTTTACGACCATTTCACCACAAGTTAAGAAGGCAATCTATCATAAAGTCCTTTCCATATCATGATAGTCAAGTTCAAAATTCAATCCAAAAGGCACATTTCCAATTATCAACTCTTGAAATATTATCAGATTGTACAAGTGTGTAAAATCTGCAAAACAAAAAAGATGTATTTAGGTTTTAAATGAGCATTACAAGTACTTTCGTTTTTTCTGTAAGAACAACCCAATCCTGCATTGTGGTAGGCCTATCAAGAACTAAGTCACGACTTTCGCTTTTGAAATATGATTCAGCATTTTGTTTTGATCCTTAGCGTTCATCTTTAACAGTTTATATCCTATCCAATGCGAAACGTATTAATATGATCCAATGCGAAACGTATTAATATGATACTTTAGGTACATTCATACATTATGTGATATGTTCAGTTCTGTCTGCTAGTTTTGATTACACACTCCTCTTTCTATTGATTTTTCAATAATATCCATTTCATTGCTTTTGTTTTTTACTCAAACATTCAACTAAGCTTGTCAAGGCATAATGAATATTTTAGCTTTAAAACATTTCAGCATTGCAACTCGGACAGTTCTAGTAGTCCAAATCAAATTATCCGACATTTTGATATTCATTTTTTCGAATGGGTCCGTGTTAACCTCGACCCTACAATTGACTACAATTCGCTTTAATCTGGGTCCGACTTGACTACAGTCCGCGTCAACCAGCTGGGTCCGACTTGACGACAGTCCGCGTTGGCCTGGGTCCGACTTGACTACAGTCCGCGTTAGCCTAGGTCCGACTTGACTACAGTCCGCGTTAACCTGGGTCCGACTTGACTATATAGTCCGCTTTAAACTGAATCCGACTTGACTATAGTCTGCTTTAACATGGGTCCGACTTGACTGTAGTCCGCGTTAACCTGGGTCCGACTTGACTATATAGTCCGCTTTAAACTGAATCCGACTTGACTATAGTCTGCTTTAACATGGGTCCGACTTGACTATAGTCCGCTTTAACCTGAGTCCGACTTGACTGTAGTCCGCTTTAACCTGAGTCCGACTTGACTATAGTCTGCTTTAACATGGGTCCGACTTGACTGTAGTCCGCGTTAACCTGGGTCCGACTTGACTATATAGTCCGCTTTAAACTGAATCCGACTTGACTATAGTCTGCTTTAACATGGGTCCGACTTGACTATAGTCCGCTTTAACCTGAGTCCGACTTGACTGTAGTCCGCTTTAACCTGAGTCCGACTTGACTACAGTTCGCGTTAACCTTGGTCCGACTTGACTACAGTCTGCGTTAACCTGGGTCCACTGTGTCAGCTTGGGCCGACTTAACTATAGTCCGCTGTAATCTGGATCCGACTAGACTTCAGTCCGCGTTAACCTGGATCCGACTTGACTATAGTCCGCGTTAACCTGGATCCGACTTGACTACAGTCCGCGTTAACCTGGGTCCGACTTGACTATATAGTCCGCTTTAAACTGAATCCGACTTGACTATAGTCTGCTTTAACATGGGTCCGACTTGACTATATAGTCCGCTTTAAACTGAATCCGACTTGACTATAGTCTGCTTTAACATGGGTCCGACTTGACTATAGTCCGCTTTAACCTGGGTCCGACTTGACTATATAGTCCGCTTTAAACTGAATCCGACTTGACTATAGTCTGCTTTAACATGGGTCCGACTTGACTATAGTCCGCTTTAACCTGAGTCCGACTTGACTGTAGTCCGCTTTAACCTGAGTCCGACTTGACTACAGTTCGCGTTAACCTGGGTCCGACTTGACTACAGTCCGCGTTAACCTGGGTCCACGTACACTTGAACTGATCCAGGATATCTCAATCTGCTCACCTTTAATCGTAACCTCATGAGCTGAAGAATCGCGGAAGTGTACATTTTATGGCTGACTAATCGACTACTTGTTGCACTCTCACATCACCTTTGTGTAAAGAACCACCTAATATGACATTGTTATGA